ACGAGCTCCGCAATGAGATGGGTTGGATCTTTCGCCAGAACGAGCGTGCTGCATGGAACTCGGTTGAGTTCGCGCGCAACGAGAGTGACAAGCACCTCGCCCGCAACGCAGCTCGTTATGCATCCTATGCAGCTCCCGCGGCCCGCGAGGGCGAGCAGTGGAGCAGTTCCGATTGGCAAGATGGTCCGGATGGAGCACCTGGGGTGGCAGTAGCGGCAGTGGACGACAGTCTACCTGGCGGTGGCGTTAAAGACGCATCCCTCACGGATTTGCATGTACAATAGATGTTGCCCTGACCGTTCTCTTTCTGTTGTGTTTCTGTTTGGCTGCTTTGTGAAAGGCCCCTTTAACATGCAGGTGCCTGCTCGGACTGTGGAGCCTGCTGCCACCGCTTCTTTGCCGATCTCGACACGTGGCAACCTCCGCACCACTCCGGTGGTTCGCCTGTAGTGGCCAAACTGTATTCCAGAGTGTATACGGACACAAAAATACACCCGCCGTGGGGAGGCAGATGGCCCGGCGATGGCCCGGCGATGGCCTTTTGCATGTTTTTTTGGCATGCGCGTATGCCAACCTGTAACACGCCAACATAGCCTCCACATTTTTTTGGTCAGTGCTATATGTACCTTGCGCGTCGGTCGAACACGCGTTGTTTGACCGGGGTTAGTTGTCAGGCCCCGCATCAGATGCAGGAGAAGAGGCTGGACACGCGTTGTCAGCTTCCCCGCATCTTTGGGCCTGTACCTCTGAGCAACTCCACGGAAAAAGGGCGGTGCGTTTGTCTTCCGGTTTTTTCCCTGTCTGGTTCCCCTGTTGACTTGAAGCAGTGAACAGGATAACCAGACACTCCGTTGCGAGCTCCTTTCTTCGCCTTAGCGCAATCTCCCAGACCGTCGGGCTGAGGGGCCGATGAACTTAAAGGGGCAACTTTTCAAGGCGAACTTCGCGCCGATGAATTTTGGGCCGAGGGGGCGATGAACTCGAGGCCGAGACGGGCGATGTGAACTCGAGGCCGAGGGGGGCGATGAATTTCGGGCCGAGGGAGGGCGATGAACTCGAAATTCGGTTTCTCGCATCGGCCGAAACGCTCTAAAACACGCTGGCCTCTCGCGCAACTGCCCAAAAAAGCGCTTCAAAACGCCCCCAAACCCGAAAAATTGATTGGTTACTATAAGCCCCCTTTACGTACGACTCGCCGTCACCATGAGAAGATTTCAGTACAGTTGGTAATTTTTCCGTGCGCATTCGCATACACAACCATTTTAGCTGATGGACCAAAAGGATTAGACAGCACATGCAAACAAAACACAAAGGAAACTACAAAAACAAAAACAAACGCCAAACGCAGATACAAAGGTTAGAACTTAAGAGGCAACAAAGAGAAGAAAAACAATTAACATAGAATTCAAGGGCTAAGAATCAAGGAAAAACTATCGAACAGCGTTTGTAACACTTGTTATTTTTGCCAATATTTCTGATTTATTTGCGTTTTTTCCATGTGTGCGAAGGTGCAGTTTGGTGCTTTTTGCTTGCATGTTGCGGATGCACCGTGCTTGCCTCTCGATTTCTTGGCGGTTTCGCCCTCTCTTCAATTCTTCACTTCTTCGAACGTGGATTGTACTTGCTGTGACTTTGGCTTGGTCGTTGCAACTTGGACCTGTGCAGAAGGTAATGCGGTGGGTAAGGTGCGAACTTCTTGCCAATGCCATGCCTCTAAGTCTCAAATGTGGAGGAATCTTCGACAAGGATGCTACACTTAGACAGTTTTCATTGGTTGACGGACCTGGCGGCAACTGACTGTGGTTGCAACGCTTTGATATCTTTGGGCTGGTTCTGTGCAACTTGCGTTCTTCAACGCCGCACTGAAACAGATGGTCTTTCCCACCGCGATTGGAGAAACGGTGGCTGAGTTTTCGAGGTTAGCTGCCGTACTGGTCTACAGGCGCGGTCTTGCGTCTCACCCCTTCTGGGAAGATTGAGGACCGCTTTGTCTCGGTGTTCTTAATGTTGCTGTGCTCCGTTGGCCTTGCTTGACATCGCAATCTTCACCCCTGGTAGCGACGCACGGTTCTTTTGCTCCTAGTGGTGTTTCTCGATTGAATGTAGGACCCAAGAGTTTTGGTGAGGCCATCGAATTGCTAAGGGTAGCTGAGCCTGGCGCATTTGCGTTCTGGCGATTGGTCGTACTATGTTGATGAGAAGTAGGTCTCTTGCGAGGTCTACTGCTTTTGTTGCTCGTGTAGCATCGCGTATAAGTGGTCTGATGTTTGCATCCTCAATTTGTCGTGTGGCCACGTGTGTACCAGGTTGAAGTCTATGAATCCGAGGTAGCCTTGTAGTTTGAACAACCACTCTTCATACTGTGAGGAGTCACCATTGAAGAATGGTTTGTATTTGTGTAGTTTTTGGACGTCGTTGTCCTGTGCTTGTGCTTCTCCTGTTCCCGTAGCTCCAATTGTTTCTGCTGCTGTTGGCTCATTTTCTGCTTTTGTAGCGTGCTGAGCTGATGGTTTGGCATGTGATTGCGCTAGTTGTTGTTGTACTTACTGCTGTAGACTGGACTTTGTAGGTACCACGTTAAAATCAAATTGCTACAAGTGCAAGTGCTGTAATATTGTTACCACAAGCGGTCAATCCAGTAGTCTGCACAGTACTTCTTTTCCTATGCGAGCCATGTAGTGAAAGGTAAGAGTTCAAGGCCTGCGGTAGTGTACAAGGTGTGCACAAGGACAAAGTAGTGCAACATGTACATTGACTTCTCTTTCTTTCTCTCTCAACAGGAGCTCGTTCTCTCAGCTCACGTCAGAGTCACGTCGCAAGGAAGCAGGACTGCTTCATGTTTCAATGCTTCGTTTACGTTTTCACGAACTTTCTGGTGTGCGATAGTTGTCATTTCCAATCTCCTTGGGGCTGTAAACTGCTAGTTCGGGCGCTGGTTTTTAAAGCCTGAATTCAATCTGTTTTGGTGAATATTCCAACGTGAGGTCCTTCCTGCGCCCCTGTGCAGCCGGGGCATAATCATTCTTTGGGGCCACAAGTTTGTTCCTGAGTTTAGTGGTTGCTTGTGACTGATTTGGGTCCTTTCCATGCCTGTGTTTTAAACATAAGGGTTCACCTTTTTGTTGCATGGCATGCGTAATCCACTTGTTTTCGTTTTTGCGGTTTGGCAGGGGTAAACCACTGACCCCTCAGGCAGGTGTTCGTACGACTCATATGTTTGTATTTCATACGCCGCCCTGCCCAAAACAACCAAAGTTGCCCATCTACCGCGATTTGCCGGTGGGTATCACAAAGTTCGATGCTTCTTTGGCCCCATCTGCTCCGGCGGCGCTCGATGGCCCGAGCCGTAGCTGCGGCGCCCGCGTTTTCTAAGAGACACGCGAGATGGGGCAATGCAGCTCGGCGATGGCCAACGTCGCCGTGCGAGCGTCGCCCTTGGACTGTGATTCGCCGAGAGAGAGAGATTTGCGGGGTGATGCAAGAGGTTTGGTACTGATCTCCATGAGAATTTTGGAAGGGTTCAATTTCTGCGAGGGGTTTGTGTGATGCAAAGTGTTTAAAGCAGCAACGAGCCAGTCGAAGTTTGGAAGGTCTGTGATGCAACGTGGCATGTGAGGCACCCGTGAAGCTCAAGAGCTGTCTGAAGCTGGACAGCGGCTGGGCGAGTCTGGGGATCAAATTCCGATCGCGCGGAGCAGATTTCTTGGAGTTCGGATTTGGGGTCACCCAACTTATATCGTTGGTTGATGGTTGAACCTATTGGGGCCAAAAACCAGGGGGCGAGATGTTGCGGGAGAATGTGTTGAACCTTGTCCACCCCTGCTTTCCCCGTCTGTTCTATTATTGTTCTAGTTTAGCTTCGGCTTCCCAAAATTCCAACATTGCTTGCGGCATTGCAATCGTTTCCTAATCAACCACACCAAAAGGGGCTGTGCTTTCTTCCCTTGGCCGCTCGAAGGTATGTGTGGATTTCGGGTTTGCGAAACTAACCTTCAGGGGGCCAAGACACACTCACATGTCAACCGCCCGAAACGCCCTCAAAAACGCACAGCCACACGCTCACAAACACACACTCTGAGGCCCTGAGACAACTTCTCACGATGGTGCGATGATTCGCATGCGAAGCAACGGTGCCAGTGAGCTCGAGGATTTGCAGTACGTAGAGCCTAGGCTTGAAGCAACCGTTTAAGGCTGGCGTTCGCTTTTAAGTGTTTAGCGGTTATTGGCCATTTCGCCCACGAAAAATTTTCAACTTCTCGCGGGGGATCTGAGAACAGCCCATTTACAAAGGCTGGTTTCCCAAGCAGTGCTCCGTCAACTCTGCATAGAACAATTCGTTGGGAAGCAGGTGGGTGGCTTTTTTTTGGGGGTCAACGAGACTTTTATGGCCGAAAAAACTGATCCTGGAACTGTTTGCTCGCCTCTTCGGGATGACGCGTCTGTTGGCTGCCTCCTTCTACATGCGGGGGGGTGGGGGGTGGGTGGGTTGGGGCGGGTTGGGGTTTATTTAATTACTCCTCCTTCTACATGCAAAGGGCGGGGTGTGTGGGGTGGGGCTTGCTTGGTGGGGAACACTTTTTGCAGGAGCCTTCATGCCGTCCTATAGCGACTGGGAACGGGTGTGGGTTCATGTCGTATTTGAGGTGACCATTTGCAGTTGGGATTTGCAAGGGGGAGCTTCGGCCATTCCGGGCACGAGCAGCTTCAAGAAAGCCAACAGATGGTGAGGAAAATAATTCCCTTCGGCTGCCATGACCATGGGTAGCTTTTCTCATGTAAACGGGAAAGTGGAGTCTTTTTGGTGGGTTTCCCCACATGGTCATCTTTTTGGTGGGTTTCCCCACATGGTCATGTTTTACCCTTATGATCAACCCCCAGATGCAGTTTTGACTCTGCGGGAGACAGATTCAGGGTGCATGTTCTACCTGGACCAAAGGGACTGTGAACTCAAGGGGAAAAGGCGCTCCCTCCCACCCCCGGCTTTCATTCCGCCATCTCAGGAGCCCCAGCTGAGCTTCGATTCCATGGATTCCAAGCCATCGAAGGTGTGGTGACCAAAGTTTGTCCAACCTGTTTCCTGACGCTGTTTCCTGATACCCAAAGTTGAGACTAGACCAAAGCTTGGCGTGGTTTCCTTCGCAAATTTTTCTGTAAGGGAATCTATGAAGTGAAACCGAAAGTCTTTTTTTGTTTTTGCCCGGATGTCCGTGAGCCCTAAACAGACATCGGCTGGGTTGTTCTCCATCCATGACGGGTCACCGTTTGGTGTTGGATGGGCTAGGAAGCCAAAAGGAAAAGCCAGTTGGCTGTGGGTCAACACCAATGGTATCCCATTTTGAGGGTTTTCGGTGCACCCATTTTAGAACCTGTTTGAGTGGTTGGATTGGGTCCGGTTCACTGGGGGCTAGCCGATTTGGCTCTTGACCCATGTCCAGAAGCCCAACGAGCGAGTCTCAGGCCCAGCGTGGGCCACCTGGGCTGCGCTGCCATTCTCGGCACGTGGAAAAGCTGAACCGCGGCTCCGCGAAAGGGGACGGAAGGTCTCTCGATTTTTTCCCCCCCCGGCTTTCCAGCCAGCCATCCGGCTTTGAGTTGTTTTTCCTTTTCCTTGTTTTTTTTCCCCCTTTTTTCTCCTGGTGGTTTAGTGGCGGTGAAACCACTGAAGGTTATTTCCCCTTTTTGCAGGTGATCTCTGGGAGACAGGCCAGGCTCCCGTGGATCTTTTTCCACGTCCCGTCCGGTTTTTCTTCTCTTTGGGATGTGTGGATGAGCACTGGTCTTGGGTTTGACCAGCGGCATGGTGGATTTTCCACCCATCCTTTGAACGCCTCGGGGCCCGATCCGGCTCCGAAGCTCCGAAGCTCGGAGCTTCCGGGGAGTTCCGGAGATCCGGAGCCATTTCCGCGACATGGCCGGAACGAGCCCGGGGACCGATTTCGGCCTCTTAAGCGGGTTGCCAACCACCAAACCACCAATCCAGTTCATCAAAGGGGAAGTCAAGCATCAGAAAGGAGCCCATTTGTTTGAGCTTATCGGTCATCACCATAGGCTTGTGGGGCATCTTGAGGTTGAGTATGGTACAGAACTTGAGCATAGTTTGGGCCCGGTTTTCTCTTGACTCGGGGTCAGGTGAACCGGAGGATGGCCTAAGAAGCCGTCAGTTGGATGGTTCACATTCCCCTTCTGCACGCCAAAAAGAAAAGGAACACTCTCTGAGACCTTTGCAATCTTTCTGTTTCGCACGGCTTTTTTCAGGGTTTGCTTTCTTACGCCCTTTTTGTTTGGCGCCCCGTTTGGATCGATTTGTTTCAGCTCATGGGATGTTTTAGGCCGCACCGTTGCTCTGCCTGCCGAGCACAGGCTGCCAGACACTTTGCACCGAAAGGCGGTTCGACTGGTCGAAAACCACTCTTTCCCGCAATAAACACTTACAAAAGTGCGGCCGCAGGTCAAGCTTACGTGTACAGGGCCAGAGCTCAAGCTTACGCTTCACTCTGGGCAATGCGAAACGGATCCAATCTAGATGTAGGCAAAATCGGACATGGAGTAGAGTGGCAAGAGATCCTATCGGTCACTGGAACTTGAAATGTCCGGTTTCCTCATGTTTTTTTTGGGTAAGGGTTGGATGTCTTTGTTCAGGTTTATTTTGCGTGGCCGAGGCTTCCTGCAGACAGTGGAAGCCGACAACGCACGCCTACGGGGCGAGGTGCTCATCCGCAGATTGGAGGTGTCCTGAGTCTAAGAACCGGTCGCCCGCCTGGAGAAATCCAGGGGTATGAACCCGGACTTTCCATTCAGGAGTCCTGCACTCCCGCGAGCTGTGTGCGTCTTCCCCTTTTCATTGTAGTCTGTTGGAGCATCAGCCCTGAATCTGTGGGCAAGCACATTGACGCATACGAGACTCCGCGAGGCGTTTTGGACAAGAGTGGAAGTGCACAGGGACAGCGGGTGGCGGAGGTCTCAAATATCCCGGCTGTGTTGCGTGTTTTTGCTTCACTTTGACGTTCTCTCTGGCTGTATCTTGAGATGGGCACAAATATGCAAGCAACCAAATATGTAGCTGAGCAGCCAAGCAAGCACGCAAGCGAGCAACCGCCGACCCTGACTGACCGACTGACCGACCAACCAAGCCACGGGCACGCACCCACCCACCCACCCACCCACCCACCCACCCACCCACCCACCCACCCACCCACCCACCCACCCACCCACCCACCCACCCACCCACCCACCCACCACCCACCACAACCTCCCACAACCCACCCACCACCACCCACCACCACCCAACCACCCAACCACCCAACCACCCAACCACCCAACCCACCCCACCCCCACCCAACCACCCAACCACCCAACCACCCAACCCACCCAACCCACCCAAACCCACCCCCAACCACCCAACCACCCAACCACCCAACCACCCAACCACCCAACCACCCAACCACCCAACCACCCAACCACCCAACCACCCAACCACCCAACCACCCACCCACCCAGCCACCCAGCCACCCAGCCACCCAGCCACCCAGCCACCCAACCACCCAACCACCCAACCACCCAACCACCCAACCACCCAACCACCCAACCACCCAACCACCCAACCACCCAACCACCCAACCACCCAACCACCACCAACCACCCAACCAAACCACCCAACCACCACCAACCACCCAACCAAACCACCCAACCACCACCAACCACCCAACCAAACCAACCAACTTGCCAACTTGCCAACTTGCCAACTTGCCAACTTGCCAACTTGCCAACTTGCCAACTTGCCAACCAACCAACCAACAAACCAGCCAGCCAACCAAACCAACCAACTTGCCAAGTTGCCATCAAATTGCCACCTCAGCCCCGAGCAACCAAGCAAACAGAATCAGATAAAGCAACTACGCAGCGCAAGCAGCCGAGAGGGTGAGACAATTGGAGTAGGCTCTTTGACCAGTGACACAAGTTCCTGTCTGATTTTAAGGAATGGGCAAGGACATGTATTCAATGATGGCAGCCAATGGGGTGAAGCTGTCAAGTTGGAGAGGCAACCATGTTCACCCGAAGTAAAGACCATTTCCGCTCACCTGCGACCGTACAAGCAGGGCAAAAGTGTGGTTGCGCCCTTTCAGCCCTTTCGGCCTTTCCGGCATGAACGGAAGTCGAGAGGCTTTGTGGTTGCTTCTGTCAGTTGTCACCTTTCGGAGAGATCGCCCCGCTCGGAGAGATCCCGAAAACGAATACATCGGGCTGTGGCTTAGTGATAGCCTGGCCCAATCATACCGCGATGCACGGAGTTTGCTGGTGGTATTTTCCGCAAATGGAGTGTGTCCACGCAGATGTCGGCAGACTGAGGCGTTTTGGGTACACGGACATGAGCATCAGCTATTGACTGGGGTCTCCTTTCCTCCATTGGTTCTAGGATTGTCGGAATCAGAGTACGTGAGCTTCGCTCGATATGGTTGGCAAAATCCGAAGCGTTGGGCATATGCAAAGAGGAGCCAAAGCCAGCCGGGTCATCTATGCATGTATGCATGTATGCATGTATGCATGTATGCATCTATGCATGTATGCATGTATGCATGTATGTATGTATGCATGTATGTATGCAATGTATGTAATGTATGTAATGTATGTAATGTATGTAATGTATGTAATGAATGTGTGTGAGGATGTATGGATGTAATGTATGTATGTACGTACGTATGTATGTATGTATGTATGTAATGTATGTATGTATGTATGTATGTATGTAATGTAATGTAATGTAATGTAATGTAATGTAATGTAATGTAATGTAATGTAATGTGTATGTAATGTAATGTAATGTAATGTAATGTATGTATGTATGTATGTATGTATGTATGTATGTATGTATGTATGTATGTATGTATGTATGTATGTATGTATGTATGTATGTATGTATGTGTATGTATGTATGTATGTATGTATGTATGTATGTATGTATGTATGTATGTATGTATGTATGTATGTATGTATGTATGTATGTATGTATGTATGTATGTATGTATGTATGTATGTATGTATGTATGTATGTATGTATGTATGTATGTATGTATGTATGTATGTATGTATGTATGTATGTATGTATGTATGTATGTATGTATGTATGTATGTATGTATGTATGTATGTATGTATGTATGTATGTATGTATGTATGTATGTATGTTATGTATGCATGCATGCATGTTATGTTATGTTATGTTATGTTATGTTATGTTATGTTATGTTATGTTATGTATGTACGTATGTATGTATGTATGTATGTATGTAATGTATGTATGTATGTATGTATGCATGTATGTATGTATGTATGTATGTAATGTATGTATGTATGTTATGTTATGTTATGTTATGTTATGTTATGTTATGTTATGTTATGTAATGTATGTATGTATGTATGTATGTATGTATGCATGTAATGTATGTATGTATGTATGCATGCATGTTATGTTATGTTATGTTATGTTATGTTATGCTATGTTATGTTATGTTATGTATGTACGTATGTATGTATGTATGTATGTATGTAATGTATGTATGTATGTATGTATGTATGTATGTATGTATGTATGTATGTATGTATGTATGTATGTATGCATGTGTGGATGTATGCATGTACGTAATGTATGTATGTATGTATGCATGTATGTATGCAATGTATGTAATGTATGTAATGTATGTAATGTATGTAATGAATGTGTGTGAGGATGTATGGATGTAATGTATGTATGTACGTAGGTATGTATGTATGTATGTATGTAATGTATGTATGTATGTATGTATGTATGTAATGTGATGTGATGTGATGTGATGTGATGTGATGTGATGTAATGTATGTATGTATGTATGTATGTATGTATGTATGTATGTATGTATGTATGTATGTATGTTATGTATGTATGTTATGTATGTATGTATGTACGTTCGTACGTAATGTATGTATGTATGTATGTATGTATGTATGTGTGTATTGTATTGTATTGCATTGTATTGTATTATAATGTAATGTAATGTAATGTAATGTAATGTAATGTATATAATGTATGTACTGTATGTCTGTATGTATGTATGTATGTATGTATGTATGCATGTATGTATGTATGTAATGTATGTATGTATGTATGTATGTATGTATGTATGTAATGTATGTGTGTATGTATGTATGTATGTATGTATGTATGTATGTATGTATGTATGTAATGTAATGTATGTATGTATGTATGTATGTATGTATGTATGTATGTATGTATGTATGTATGTATGTATGTATGTATGTATGTATGTATGTATGTATGTATGTATGTATGTATGTATGTATGTAATGTATGTATGTATGTAATGTATGTATGTAATGTAATGTATGCAATGTAATGTAATGTAATGTAATGTATGTATGTATGTATGTATGTATGTATGTAATGTATGTATGTATGTATGTAGTGTATGTGTGTATGTATGTATGTATGTATGTAGTGTATGTAATGTATGTATGCATGTATGCATGCATGCATGCATGCATGTATGTATGTATGTATGTATGTATGTATGTATGTAGTGTATGTAATGTATGTATGCATGTATGCATGCATGCATGTATGTAATGTAATGTAATGTAATGTAACGTAATGTAATGTAATGTAATGTAATGTAATGTAATGTAATGTAATGTATACAATGTATGTAATGTATGTATGTATGTATGTATGTATGTATGTATGTATGTATGTATGTATGTATGTATTTAATGTATCTATGTATGTATGTAATGTATGTATGTATGTATGTAATGTATGTATGTATGTATGTATGTATGTATGTATGTATGTATGTATGTATGTATGTATGTATGTATGTATTAATGTAATGTAATGTAATGTGATGTGATGCGATGTAATGCAATGTAATGTAGTGTAACGTAACTCAATGTAATGTAATGTAATCTATGTATTGTACTAGTATTGTATTTTATTGTATTGCAAAGTAATGTAATGTAATGAAACATATGTATGTATGTAATGTATGTAATGTATGTAATGTATGTAATGTATGTAATGTATGTAATGTATGTAATGTATGTGTGTATGTAATGTATGTAATGTATGTATGTATGTTTATGTATGTATGTATGTATGTATGTGTGCGTGCGTGCGTGCGTGCGTGCGTGCATGTATGTATGTATGTATGTATGTATGTATGTATGTATGTATGTGTGTAATGTATGTATGTGTGTAATGTATGTATGTATATATGTAAGTAAGTATGTACGTATGTAGGTATGTATGTATGTACGCATGTATGTATGTACGTATGTACGTATGGTATGTATGTATGTATGTATGTATGTATGCATGCATGCATGCATGGATGTATGTATGTATGTATGTATGTATGTGTGTAATGTATGTATGTGTGTAATGTATGTATATATGTAAGTAAGTATGTGCGTGTGTACGTATGTATGTATGTACGAATGTATGTATGTACGTATGTACGTATGGTATGTATGTATGTATGTAGGCATGTATGTATGTATGTATGTATGCATGCATGCATGCATGCATGGATGGATGGATGTATGTATGTATGTGTGTATGTATGTATGTAGGTAGGTAGGTATGTATGTATGTATGTATGCATGAAAGGTGTTGTAATGTACTGTAAGTCACTGTACGTATGTATGAATGTATGTATGTATGCTATTACGTAATGTTTTTATGTTTGTATGTATGTATGCATGCATGCATGCATGGATGTATGTATGTATGTATGTATGTATGTGTGTATGTATGTAGGTAGGTAGGTAGGTAGGTAGGTAGGTAGGTAGGTAGGTAGGTAGGTATGTATGTATGTATGTATGTATGTATGTATGTATGTGTGTATGTATGTAGGTATGTATGTATAAGCTAACCCCTCTACACCCATGATGTCAGAACGAAACGTCAACGGGTCAAAGGACACTGCTCAGCCTCAGCAGGTCGATATATCTGCAGATTTTTCAAGTTGCCCGTACGCCGACTATCGAGTCAGCCGGCCTCTTTTTTGCCAGCTCGGAGGATCCAGGCCAGCGACCGTCGCAGGTTTCTCTTTTGCCTTGCCCAGTTGCGTGATGGCGTTCCCCGGTCGCCCGTAATAACTGGATCCTCCAGGCATGGTTGTTCCGAACTGGCCGAGGTCTTGACATCGCAGGGGTGGAAGTTTGATGAACGGCTTCTCCTTCCCCTTGCGGCTTTTCCTTCCGCCGCAGTTGTCGGAGAGGGCGGAATTCATATTATTCCTCCCTAGGGGATCACCGCGGACGGAGAGCAGGCAAAAGCGAATGCGGTCGTGAAAGGGTAGGGTTTTACGAAGATCCTGTTTCTCATTCGCGGTTGGATGACATATGTTTTTGATGGGTTAATGTCGTGTTTTTCCAAGTTCCGCCTTGACCTCTCGTATCTGGAATGACCGCGGCTTACTGAGATTCCTGAGACAGCCTGCTCGGGGAGTTTGTGGGACGAATCTTGAGTGGGAACTCTTTCGAGGATCCCATGGGGCACAGAAGTGCACCAGGGTGCATATGCCACGTGTTTGTTCTTCCCCCGAACTCGAGGAGGTGCTTAGCCATGACGGTGGGTTACCCATGCGGACGACCTCGGCTTCGGTGGTTGATGGCTCAAGTTCCCGGAGATCAAAGTCCATGTTGGAACCTGGGGTGGCAAAACATCTCTTTGGAGGTAACAACTCTGGACCTTTCCTTTGGATGTCCTGGAAAACCGCCAAACAAGGGATAGCGTTCTCATTGCTTCCGGGGTTTTCATTGCATCGGTGAGGCAAGCTTTGAGCTGAGGGTCTCCCAACTCTCCGATCGAGCGAAAGTGTCAGGCTGGGCTCCGCTCAGCGCAGCGCCGCGGCAGCGCAGCACCGCAGGCGCGGGTATGGTGCACCCAATCGATGATCTTTGGGCTGCCCCCATCTCTTGATCCCCATCTCTGGGGCACTCCCCCAGCTCCCGGTTGGATGTCGCGATGTCGCCACGGATGAGTCAGCCTTCTTTGGCTACAGAATGCTTTCATGTGCCATGTGCTGCTGTCATTTGACTGCTGCGGTTTGCCCTTTGGCCCACTCGAAAACAAGGAATCAACCCACAGCTCCATAGTGCAGCACGACTGGGTCTTGATGGGGTTCTTAGACATATTGTCGCATCCGAAGCCAATCAGGGGCATGAACATGGGCCACAAACACGGCTCGCGGGGCCTTTCGCGTCTCCTGCTTCTCAAGTGGTGGGCATTTTGCGGGCGCTTTGAGCGCGATGTTCCAGCACACTCGGAGGGAAGGTGCCGAGTGCGTGAGAATGAGGACTCTGAGTGCACGACATGGATAAACACGTGTTATGCTCAAAGAAGACGCGTTGCTTTTGGGGGTGTGCTTTTTTGGGCGAGCCCGCCAACAAAAGGGAAGATGGTCTTTTTATTTGGGCCGCCAGAAAAGCAACACCCACCACACACCCACATGTAGCTTCAAACATGGGGATCACGTCCTCAAAAATGGGGGGAACCCGCTCGGAAGTTTCTCAAAAAGGTTGAACCACCCATGGGACTTGACGTGAAGACTTTGGAGCCTCAGGAGTGGAACGATGTGGAACGTCTTTTTTTCTTGGTACCCTTTTTGCATGTTCCTAAGGGAAGCTAACAGGATGTTGCTGATCACAGGGCGTCTTGTGGGTGTAACGTGTCTTGAGGGACTTTTTTTCTTGGCGCATGTACAAGAACAAGAACACTTTCCGTTCTTCAGGTTGCTCGTACTCTTGGCAGGATGCATTGGAATCAAAGGTTTTCGCTTTGTAAGCCGCGCTTTGGGGCTCAAGCGTTGGCGCTTCGCTTGGAGCGCGTATCTTCGTAGATCCACCTTCGTACCCCTTCTTCCGGCCCTGCATGGAATCACCAACAGCTTTCTTTGGCCCGGGGCTTATTTGTCCATGGTCGTTTCTTCTAATGCCTTGCCTTCGGCCTCATTTCATCTGATTTTGGCTGATGGTGGTTGGGCAAGCTGGAGTGTTCCAGGGTTACCCAACATTTGCCACTGGTGTGCTTGGCCTGAAACATCGCAACAACACGCACCGCTTCACGCGATCCCGTGCCGTGGCTTTGCTATGGAACTGCCCCCATGCCGTGCCGTGTTGCTTCTTTCAAGCCGGTGAGGCTTGCATCTGTATTGCCAGACCTTCTTTTTCTCCCGGAGCTTTCTCCCCGACTTTATCCCAAGAAATATCCTCCAATCGTTTCTTCTCATCTCCTTTTGAGTGGCACGCTTTCGGGATGTAGTACCCCGAGCGCCATGGGGTAACTCCCATGCAAAAACAGAGGAAGCCGCCGTTCTTTTTGAGAAAACCAATGCGTCCCCACTTTTCGTCGCTTCTTTTTTCTCCGTTAAACACGTTTCTGAAATGGAGAACACCGCTTTTGAATAGAGAGGATTGATGCTTGAAAAGATCGAAGGCTGGAGACGCAGCCGGTCTGCTCCAAACAACACATGGGTGTGGTTGTCAAAAATAGGTACCCAAAATGGTAACCCTGGCAAATGGAAGCAAAGACTAAAACCCGCGGTCTGGTGGCTTAATTTTGACCCACAGCATACATTGACTGACCCTACCAGTTTCTGAGTGCGAGGCGCTTGGGAGGTCTGTAGTTTTCCTTCCCTTGTGGTGATGGATAAACTAGCTCTGGATCGATGCGTGACCTGAAGGGCGGAAACTCTGGACACTCATGGGGTTTTCTTTTGAACTCGGTGCAGAGGCTTGCACCAAATGACCACAAAATCTGGGTTTGTGTTCAGCGGACCCACACTTTGTGGTGGTTTTCCTCCGCACCAAGCAGGGGTGGCTTTTGAGTCGCCCAACGCACAATCTGCTGAGCCAACAGAGCCCTGAGGTGCTGTTCCACTGGGCCGTTTGGCTGCAGGTGGCAGTCTCGATGACGCTCGGAGCGCGATCTCCCTTGGGATTTTTTTCGGGTGATTTGTGGCGAGACTATGGTCGAAACATGTTCAGACTATGGTCTATCTGGGAGCCCAGGGGACTGGCTTTTCCGCAAGGAGCTTTCCGGTGTTTGTTTTGGTTGCTGAGATCCGCGTTTCCGAAGAGATCCGTTTGCAGCCCTCAAAGCTGTCCGGAAAGAGCCAGAGAACCAGTCGCGCCACGGAAGCGCACAGTGGGCGACCAGTGTTGGGTGAAGGTTCGCTGGAAAGACGAAGGGGATACAACTTCATGTCTTTTTTGGGGCTATGCATTTTTTTGGTCCAGGGTTCGTCTAGCAGGATGCTCGGAGTTTGCGGTGAAGTCGCGCATCATCTTTTTCGTTTCTCCGGCAAGGGGGGGAGTTTTCGCGTCAAGGGCAGACATCAGCATTGCCATTGACGACATTTGTATCAGCACTTGGCAAGACTCCGAAGAGCAGGCGAGCCGCAAGATGGTCCTCCGAGTGTCCACACCAGGGTGCATGACTATATGAACCTGATGAGGCCCAGTCGGGGGGAGGGGGCTGACATGGCAAGGGCACCTTTGGCACAGTTTGCAGGTGTTCGATTTGTGACACCGCACAGCACACCGCCCCACATTCAGAACCAGCACTACACAACTCCACGCTACACCACACCACGCAACCTTCACACCACGCAAGCACCACCACATCACACGCAGAATGACCACAAGACCACACCAACCACACCACACCAGCACCACCGCGCCACACCACGCTACGCCACACAAGCACCAACACACCGCATCACACCGCACCAAACCACACCATCACCGCCACAGCAGCTCCGCCACACCACCTCTGCCACACCATCTCCACCACACCACGCAACCACGCAACACCTCACACAACACCACACACCACAGCACCACACACCGCACCACACCACATCACGCCACACCACAGCACACAAGCACCGCACCACACCGCACCACACAAGCACCACACCACACCACACCACACCACAGAAGCGCCACACCACAAAACACCACACCACACCGCACAAGCGCCACAAAACAGCACACACAAGTACACCTCACCGCACCACACGCACAGAGCGCAGAGCACACGCCCACTAAACCGGACAAAGCCACGGAGGCGCCGTGGTCTCGCTTGTCTTCGTGGTCTGCACCGTGGGCTTCTGCGGTCGGTGCTGGGCAGCGGGCTGGACATCGAGGCGGCGGAGCAGGGGCGAGGCCTGCGGAGAGGCGTGGTGCGCGCCAGCACCTGGAAGACCTGTCGGGAAACCGGTGGATGGCTCGTCTGAACCCACAAAGAGAGAACCAACAAGAAATATATTTTTTGGTTCTTCTCATTTTCTTCGAGGTTTTGTGGTAACCTTTTGGGCCCGAGTTTTCCTAAAACGAGACATAGGGAGCCCTGTTGGGCTACAATCACTCAGGCTTAACTTAAATGGAGACAAATGGCCGATCTTTGAAGGGTGGGGTTTTTTGCGAATGCTCTGGACGGATGTTCCCTCGAACTGGAAGGCGCGCCGCAGCTGGGCGGCGAAGAGGTGGTCATGGATTTAAGTTTGCGAGGCAGCGGTTTTTCTGGGGGCCGCTTTTGTCTTGAAGGGAAGCTGAAGCCGTGGAACCTTTTTTCTTCCTTGTTTTTTGAGGGGGAGCCCTAGGTTAGTTACCCTTGTGGGTTGCGCGCGCGCATCTTTCAGAAGCCATTGCCAGAGCCAAAAGGCGCAAGCTCGGCCACCGGTTGCAGTTTCGCCTCGGGAACCAAGCATAGCACCTAGATTTTTGGTTCCGTGGCCAAAGGCCCCTGGTAGCTGATTAGGCTTGGGGCAACCAGTTTTCGGGGCCAGTTTCGCAGCACCTGTGCTGCAGCCGGTTTTTTGGGCAGGCTGCAGCTTGCTTTGGCCGGCTTTTCCATGCAGACTCAACGGCAAGTGGACCTGCAGGCCTGCCAAGCAGCATAAATCGTATCTCTTTTCTCCGCGCTGACCGTGTCCAGCGGGCAGTTAGATGCCGACTTGGCGATGTGTCCAAAAAGAGAGACACCGTGCCGTGGACTTGAGGGTGTCTCAAACAGGATGTAGCTCAAGAGGATGTCATCATGGTCGTTGGGGCATCACTCGAGCTCTCTCTTGAAGATAATCGAAAGCAAACATCGCTATCCCCAAGTTCTAGGAACACACTGACTCGTTTTCTTCTTCTTGTCTTCTCCCAAAACTCAAGTTTCAGGGTTTGGAATTGGTGTCTTGGGGATTGAAGCCCCAGACCTTTTATAAATGGGAGCTCCTGCCAGCCCGAAGCCACCGGCTCCAACCAGAAATTCCAGGCGAGCGCCGGCGACGCGCGGTTCCGGGCGCGCGAGGCGGGCGGTTCCGCTACTTTTTCAGCAGCGCGCCCGTAAAGTCAGCGCCCTCCATGCACTTGGGCTGCGGCGGCCTGTTTGAGAGCGGAGCTTTAAGCTTCAAACTTCATCTTCGCATAGTTTCTTGCTTGCGCGCGGGCGCTTGTCATGTTGGCGTCTGCGAGCTGCTGCGCGCACTTCGTCTACTTCCAGAAACCCTGATGAAAACACTTCTTTCTGGCTTTGCGCAAGCTGTGCCCAGGCTGTCACCACACGACACATGCCGTAGACCACATACTCGCGTTTCTGGTCAGTGATTTGTCAATGTGTGCCTGTGTCTTGCACTTTGACAGAGGACAAGGATGTCCGAACAGAACTATCCCCACATACGCCTGCCAGAAGTCAGCGCAATCCAAACGTAACCATCCCCCCAACCCCCCCAATCACCGACACTCAAGTCCGGGCCGACCCCCCCGACTACCCAACATTGGGCCAACTGGTTAGGCTGGTTGCTGCCCGACCAGGTCAAAAAGTGCTTTGAGGCCTTGTGCACGAAACGACTTGAGTGAGCTAGAGAGGAGGGCAGAAAGCTTGGCAATGCTTAGGGGATACTCCCTTAGAAACTAACATGGACCCCCCCAAGGTTTCATTTGAGTTGTCTTCCCATTTTTTCCTCCCGTTTTTGAAGGGGTTCCAAAAGGAACACCGAACTCCAAGTGTTGGGGTCCCGGTCCGGGTCCGACTGACACGTTCCACACCACCGCTGCCAGACCAGCGGCCAAAATTTCCTCGAGCTTTGAGATGTGCTGGGGGCTTAAGCGCCAGCTTTCACTCGCGATCGGTGCGAAATCGGTAGGGAATGAGACATGGAATGAACCCAGGAATGGGTCCCCGAATAAAGGAAACCAACAGTTGGATGATGTTTATAAATCTGGGTCTATATTCCCTGCCTATTGCACTAGTTAAGGAGCTAGATGATCGCAGCTCAACGTATAAAGACGTTTGGGATGGACGGACAAGCGAGCGGGCACGATCATACCTAGCGACCTATAGCTTATCTGTTTGTTGCCAGAGAGGTAATTTCTGAATGGGCCCGTTTGCGTGTTCCATGTTTGTTTTTTTGGTTTGCTTGTGTTTCAGTCTGTTTCTCTTGCTCCGTCTTTCTTGCTCCTCCTGCTCCTTTCTCTTTCTCTGTCTTATTGTGCTCTCTCTGTCTCTTTCAGTTTCTCTTTCAGTTTCTCTTTCAGTTTCTCTTTCAGTTTCTCTTTCAGTTTCTCTTTGTCTTTCTCTTTGTCTTTCTCTTTCCTTTTCTTTTCCTTCTCCTTCTCTCTCCTTTAGTTTCCCTTTCTTTCCTTCTCCTTCTGTCTCCTTCTCCATGTTCGTTCCCTTCTCCTGCGCCTTTTTTCCTGCATGAGGTTCAGAAGCTTATGGTTAATTTAGCGGCATGGAGGGGGGGACACACTGCAATTCCGCTTGACCCGACAGCCATTCATAAGTTTCCTTTGCAGGAGCATACGTTCCGAAAAGAGGCCAGGCCTTTGAAGTGGGCAAAAAACACAGCCTTTGGACGGAAGCAGCCTGTGAGAGCAACGCCACGAGCCTCTTGCCCAGGCGAATCGTCCTTTTGACCAGCAACAAGAGTCGAACGATTTGTTGATCTAAATGTACTAATTCCAAAACGCAGGAAACATAGGCGGTTGTTTGCAAGTTTTGGCTCGTCAAGGGGCCTCCGCCCAAATAAGCTCCGTGATGGTTCCGGGATCACAACTTCGGATAGGCAGGTGGTTTGGAATTGGGTGTTGCAATTTGTGGTTTTTGATGTTGGAACGGGGTGTGAAGCAGTGGGCCAAATACTCCACTTTGAACAGCACTATCCAAAGAGCCTCAGCGTTGGTGGGAATTGGGGCTTGACCCCCTTGTGGGCAAATGGGCGACTCACTAACTTCCCCAATGCAAACCACCAGTTGGAGGGAAGCTGGGTATGGCTCCTATTTCCATGAGTCCTTCGAGGCATTTGGTACCCGTTCTGTTTGGTACTAGCACTCGGCTCAATTTGGGTAACACTCTGCAACACGGTTTAACCCTCTCATTCATTAAATTGCTTCGATCAAAGAAATGAAGCCGTGTTTTGTCTAGCCTGCCCTCTTGACCTTTGACCCCAGCGTCAGTTTGCCTGTTGACTTTTAACGGCCGAGGGCTGTGATGTCCATTCTGGAGGCGAGAAAACGCGAAGTGCGGCCCAGCCCGCAGCCCCGGTGACTTCTGCTCAGCCGCTCCTTGAGCACCTTGTGCGCATGTTGAACAAACCTCAGCTTGTGCTCAAACTGCCACGGAGCACAGAGTATGGTGCATGCGGGAGAGACAGGGTTTCACCTCATGTCGGCGCCCCCTTTTCCCTTCCAGCCCTTCTCTCTCCGGCCTGCCCTCATCTTCCACAAGCTGTATCACAGCTCCCGCGGCATTCAAGTGAACCACTGGGTGCTGCTGCCCTGCTACCTCGTCAGCTTGTTCCTGACTCTTGCGGTTTTCTGGGCGCAGATCCTGGCCTTTGCGCTGCTGGCGGTGTATGCGCTCGCGGTCACGGGTGCGTTCATGGGCGGCAGCTACACACTATGCGTGCTCAGCCCCTGCCTCTTCCTGGCTTGGGCCATTGCTGACAGTTTGGGGAACCCTTGGTGGTTTCATTGCCAGACTTAGCCTTGTTTTCATGTTTGGGTGTCTATGATTTTTCCTTGGCAAAGAGTCGAGCTGTTTGGACGTCTACGTCAGGCCTATTCGATTCGCGCTGGGCCAGGCCGGGTGCCTGGTCAGTCTGTTGCTGCAGCTTCTGGGCCATAAACTCTGCGAGAAGCTGAAGCCGGAGCCGGCGCCCATGCACGGCTTCGTGGCCGCACCGATGCTGGAGTGGCAGGTGGTATGGATGGAAGCGTACTTGGCGCTGATCCCGAGGCCCCCGCCCGAGTGGCTCTTCAACCTGGAGGAGCCGCAGCAAGTCTTCGCGGAGGCGGAGAGAATGCGCCTGGAGCGGGAGAGTTTGTTGGGTTGATTCACCGCCCCGATGGGCCATCGCCGGTAACTTGTATCGGTGTCAGGCCGTGCTTGCATCTCCCTGAGAGGAAAAATGCGGGCGATGTAGTCGACCAGCTGTTTTGTATTTGTTCTTGTCTTTTTGCTGTTGGTTGATAGAAACCACTGGCTTTGGTCGACCAACATGGTGCCCCAAAAAGGAGGGTGAACGGGGACTTTGTGGAAAACAACACCACCCCCAGATCCTTCGGCTGATAGCAGACGGAGCGGAAACCAGCATGCCTCCTCACAACCCCACGGCATATTCTGCAAAACCCAGATCTTCCGTAGTAGACGCCGTCTTGCTTTGTCAGGGGTTGATATCACACCTCAAAGAAAAGGGCATTTGGAGTAGGGCTGTACCTCGCTTCACTGCATTTGCTTGTTCCAATTTTCAACGCACGCATCGCTTACATCAAAGCGAAAGGCGGTTTCAATGAGCCGACCTGACTGCCAGTGCGCGTAGTTAAGTCGGAGAGGATGAACAGAGGACTGGCCTGGCCACTGGCAATTTCCTTGCAAAACAAAGGGGCCGCAGATAAACATGCTTCTCGTGCTTGTGTGCAGTGCATTGCCCTTTCGGTCATGTTTGAAAGTGCGCAATTTGCAATGCAAGCGTGCATCATTTTATGTGTGCTGATAAATGTTCACATGTCTAGCTCCTGATTGCTTTGAATGTGGTTCTGGGTGTTGAATATCAAGCTCGCATTGCTCCAGCTTGATCTTGGAGGATGCAAACACTTTCCGAAACGACCTGCGCGAGCGGAAGGAAGGCCTGAGGGTGTGATGCCCGTCTAGGGGTAGCTTCGCGGCGATTCAAGCGGAAACCGACTGCACCCCGTCCAGTGACATGAAGGACATTTCGGGCTCCCCCGTTGCAGACATTTATTGGGTCCCCCGTCCATACCCTTTGGGTCCCCTAACAAGAGTGACATTTCCCCGCGTGCTGGATAGATGCTAACGTGCTGAACACGTGCAAAACGGATAGGTTGGAGACTGGCAGAATAGCCTATTACACAAGCCATTGGCTAGCGTACCAGGGGCAAATGCGATAGAGCTGTATGATAATAACTTGCAAGTGCGAGAGATGCAGGGAATGAGACATGGAATGCCATGCAACTGCTGCTGGTTTCCTTTTCGGGGACCCAAGCCTGGGTTCATTCTGAGCACCAGCAAGATAAGCTTTTGTTTCTACCCTTGACGGTTGATTTATACGGCCTGCTTTGTCCTTCTTGATTGCGCACGCATTGCCTGGGCATCGCTCAAGGAATGTTCGTCTGCTGGCAGGAATGGTAGACCTGTGTTTCCAGACATGGCTGTGGCTCAAAAGCATGTACTAACATGGCACCCTGGCAAATGGAAACAAAGACTGAAATTCCTGCGGTTTGCCCTAGCTCACCCAAATGAGCCACAACCAAACTCTGGGCAGATGAAGGTTGGGGACAATCCGAGCCAGAAACCGAAGTCTTTGGTTCCATTTACCTTTACCAGGGTTCCCAAACTCGGGCAAATGGGTAAAAGCCTCTTACCAGGCTGGTTCCATGTACCAGGCTCATAAAACCTCTTTTTGACCCCCACCCCGCCCACACCCACACCCACCCAAGGCGCACGGCAAGCGCCTGCGGTGAGGCGGCCGCGGCTCGGGCTCCTTTTTTATTTTTCTTTTTCTTTATTTGTTGTTTCTTTTTTTGCCCTTTTCCTCTCTTCTTTTCTTCTCCGGCTGATTTTTTTTGGCCAAAGATCAGGCTTTGAATTTTTGGACACGTGGTAAATCCTTCTTGGCAGGCTTCAAGCGTTTGTTTGAAGACTGGGTTGTTGTACATGCATCCCTAACCCCTATGCTAGACAGTAGTGGTTTCGCCTGCAGTGAGTGCGGGGTGCGGATTAGGGATGCCCCAGCTTTTGTTTTCCTCTTTTTCCGGGTTTTGCGCAGAACACGGTTGGCTCAGGGAAATTAGTTGTGTTAGCAGACGGTCAAGGCATACAAAATGCGAGCAGGTGTTTCGTTGTTGGCCAAGGTTTGTGAGCTGACAGACAAAGGAGGGGGATGTGCAGATGAGTGGAGATGAGAGGTGGAAGATGTGTAGCAGATATTTGGCATTGGCACAGGTTTGTAAGTTGACAGGTGGAGGGGGTTTGCTTATGAGTTGAGATGAGAAATCGATGCGATGGCAAAGCAGAAGAGGTATTGCTTGCTGTATTTTGATACCCTTGCGCCGGTACCTTGACAGAGATGTTTTGCAGCTCAGGATGACATGAAGACTATGAATAAGCCAAAATTACATGGACGCATTCTAACATTAAACACGAGAACATATCACGGTTTCTGTTTGAGGACAGATGTTTTTTTCCTGAGTGACGTTTTGATAGCTTCAGAGATGTGTGTATGAAAGGTTATGGTTTAAACCCCGAGTATTATTACGTTTTACCTCACTGAGCCTTTCCACTTTACCAACGCTGCTTCCGATGCCATGTTCAACTTAGCTTGTGTTGAAATAGTTCTGGTTATGACCAACATATGTCTGTATCAAATGAGTGCTGGGTTTGAGGGGGGGCGGGTGCCTCTATGTATGTATACAAAATGTACCTCTACATAAACACACGCTCGCCCGCAAACAGCGAGTCCAATTTTCTCTCAGAGGCAAAGTCGACTACGGACGACTGAGCCTTGCAGCTTAGGGGGTGTTTCCGAAAGCGAATGCCGTGGTGAAAATTTGGCTCACTGATGCTACGAACTACCCTGCGTCGGTTCCATCCAACAAGTTGTATCATTGGCGCACTTGACCGCCCACATTGTTTGCGAAACCCCTACGATCGACAAAGATGCCGCACCTTTGTGCCATTGTGGCGCCTGGGTAGGATATGCTTCCCGATGCTATGCCTTTGCCCTCAGCAAACATCAAGGTGCCTGTTCTTTTTGTCACTCAACTTTGTAAAATGCATCCTCAGGTGTCGTCTGCATCCTCGTGAGCATGATCATCAGTGCCGTTGAGGCCGGTTTTCGCCGGGCCGCCTTTGGCCAAACGGAAGCATTGCTTGCGAATTTTGAGACGTGAGCTTCCATGGTCACTCGATAGCGCATGGAGCTCGCATGTCCGGTAGACGGGCTCAAAGGCAAGAGATCGGGACCGGTTCACAGAGGCATGGACTTGCTCCCAGAAAAGATCCGCCCGTCACCATGGACCAGGACAGGGGTTGGCAAGGTTTTGAGCGGGAAGCCAAAAGTCAAAGGTTTGTTGCATTGTTTCAGGGGACCCGTTCTAACAAGCGCTCCGTCCGCTTGCACCACAGGGCAATCATGCAGCACCCTAGAACCCATGTTGCTGATAGTGTGGGGCACCCTGGCAAAGTGTTTTGTGCCAAGTGTGGGCAAGCCAAACGGAACCGGCGCAACGCAAGGCAACATGGGGATGCGTCGTCTGGTTTAGGGTTCAGCTACCCGTGGCTCGAGGAATCTGATGTCGCTGCTGGCGATGGTTCTTAACATGGCTGACTTTGGCACCGACGCGGCTTGGATCGCATCAAGTCTGTGAGGGAGTTGCTTAGGAGGTGCTTACTCTGACACATGCCGGTTTTGCCGCCTTAAAGGCGTCCCGCAGGTTAGAACCGAATGTTACCGCTAAAGAACTAAGTTTACAATGTCATGCCCTTGGAACCATGCGGGCACTCCCTTGACTGCTTTGTAGACTTTGCACCAACATCTGATAAGAGTAGACGCAGGACAACGACAAGTTGAGGTTTTCGGACTGGATGACTCGATCTTTTCGAAGTCGCGTTTTTCGAGCTGGAGCTGCCAGGCTGTACTTCCGGCTGCACTTGTGCTAAAGAGATGCGGTCAATTGCTTCCCCCTATGCATGAATGCACCCTCTTGATGTTACTAAACGTTTCCCCAGACCCCGAATCTCCCAATACTACATCAAGACTAGGCAGGGCTAAACCAGAACATTTCTCTCCGACCCCAACACCAATGCCAAGCAAGTACTCAGTCAAGAGTTGACCAATTCGAATCCAGTTCCGAGCAAGTTAATCAGCACAAATCTGAGAACATGACATTGTTCTTCCGCTCACCATTCCGGGGGGGGGGGTTCTCCCTTTGGGCCGTGGCGGAACCCTTTGCGGTCTCGGCCCAGATCGGCCCCGGAGCCCGGAAGGTTTGCAAGGATTGGTGTTGGGAGCCTGGGCGAAGCGGCGATTTTTGGGTGCCAAAGCGTTGACTTCTAAGTGTGCTTGGGGGTACTGTTTGGACACTAAATTGCAAGGACCTGTCTTAAAGCCTTGTTCTTTGTGGGTTTGGGCAGATCATGCTATCCTCCGACGCGCAACCCCCCCGAGGTCGACAAGGTCCAGCAATCTGGAGTTTGGAGGGTCCCACCCTATCGCCAGTCCTGTCCATGTCTGAAGAGGAAAGTTAAAGGACGCCGCGTTGTTTTGACAAAGGCCGGAGAGTGCCGGGATTGTGGCCTGTAGCGTGGGTGTGCTTCATGAGCTTGTCAAACCTTGAGTCTTGAAAGGACATGCAACAAGACACGTTGCTGTTTCCGGCTGGCTGTGTGTTCGGCTTTGGCAAAAACACATCCGTTTCAGATTCTGAAGGGAGTTTGCATTGGTTGACATATTGGCAAGAATTGTTGCAATGTTAAATTGTGTTTTCACTCGGATTTAGGGGAAGCAGATGGCCGTCTTCAGTCAGGGGGGTTTTGGTGCGTGCCAGGAATGGCCAAAGGGGTGCAGTTTGGCCAAACCTTCTGGGTCCCGTCAAGTTTAAATTGAAAGTATTTGTGAGAGGGGGGGCTATTAATCCGGTGTTGACATAGATAGTTCAAAAGAAGGCCCATGTCTTAATGTTGGTTTCCCTTGAAAGCCACACTTCGGCCCCGTGCCGGCTTCACAGAGACCTGAGGTCATGGTGCTGCTGGGTTTGTCATGCGCGTTGCCCGCGCCACACGCCGCGTGCGTCAACGCCACACACACCGACGCCATTGCAAGCGCCGCGTCATGTGAGCCCCACACAGCCTGGTTCGCCATTTCGGCAACCATCCTGGTGGTGTCCACAGTGCTATCAAGTTGTATGTGGGCGCGTGGCAAGGCTACGCTGGCCCGCAACGCGGCTCGGCGGTTGGAGGACGAAGGCCCTGAGTCTGAGCTTCGGCCTCGGGAAGGTTGCTGCGGGTTCTGCTGCTGGTATTTTGTCCTGGGCCTGCTGCAGCTGGGAGACGCGGCAGAGCTTGTGCAATTTTTACGCGGCGAGTTAAAAGACGGTTTGCGGCAATGGCGGATCTTGTTTGGCAAAGTGCTCGAGTCGGTTCCCCAAGCCTATTTGCAAGGCTACGTCTTACTCCACACCAAGCGGCGCATGGAGCCCTTTCAGCTGGCGTCCATTTCCGTTTCGGGGCTGAGCCTGGCCTTTGGTCTAGTAACAAGCATGGCCGAAATGTTTTCTAGCTCGCGATTGAAGACGGCGCAGGGCAAAGTTCTGGGCTTCGTCTTTTTTGCCCTGGACGTTTGGGCAAGGTGCACCGCGGTGGCCCTGGGCCTCGTGCCAAGCGTGCGCCTGGCTGCCTGCGGTGTGATCGCGGGCTACTGGGTGCTGTCCCTCGCGGCATACCTGAAAATGCGGGGATGGCCCGGCTGCGGAACATTTTTTTGGGAGTTTGTGTTCGGTCAGCTGTTCTTTGTTTACATCGTGCCCGCAGCCGCCATCACACAAGGCCCCAGTGAGCTGCCAGGACCCCTGAAGCGCACCTGGCAGGTGCTGCGCTTTTTGGAGAGCGCGGGCCTGTGCGGTGCCGCCCTGGGTCTGGGCCTGGGGACCTGTCAGCAGCCGCTGGTGCCCGAGGCGTTGGCCTCGTTGGCGCTGGTGGCTGCCAGCGTGGTCCCATGGCTCGGCTTGCAGCTCTTGGACGACGAAGGCCAGTTCCGAGGACTGCCGAGCCTGCCTGGCACGCCGATGGGCAGAAGCGCGCCGCTTGACACGGAGTGAAAAAAAGGTTCTTCATCCTTTTGTTGCGTGGAAAGTCCACTTATATATGTTTCACTCCGCGAGTGCTCAACTCGGTTTCGGCGGCACATGATGGCTCCAATGATGATGAGTTCCAGGACATGCGCAACTCTGCTCAGCCCTAATGAATTTCACCACTTTCACAACAACGCATGCCGTTTTTGTTGTGCCGTCGTTCTGATTTGGACGCTCTGCGCACAAAAGCTTCACCCAATGCCTGCACTGCAGCGCATCATGGCTTGGATGGGCATGAGGGACTCCAGACAGCTAAAGTTGTAGGATCGAAGTGTGTGCAAGGGAGCCATGATTCATGAACACAAAAGGGTGTAGTATGCATCCGAAGTAGACACTGTCATTGCACCCAGTCTGGGCCTATTTTTTCCCCTAGACTCGTCCCAGCCAGCATGCAAATTTGCATGACGAGCTTCTCCGGCTGCGTGGCGTGCCAAAGCCAGAATGTTCGTTGAGCAACGCGAGCTTGCGCGAGATATGCCCGTGAGACTTCAAGTCAGATATTTGACATATGCATGGGTGACACATGTCCAGTGGAGCTTTCTGGTCTTGGGACTCCCGCTCTCCGTTTGTTGCCAGAGATGTGTTGATGCGTCAAGCGACAGATGCCGAAAGCACAGGCGCTAGTGGTGGAAAACGTGCGCTTCATGACGGTGAGTTGTTCAGTTGCACACTTTTCGTTACTTTTTGTTCCAATTCCCGTTCAGCCTGACTGCGCCTTTGTCCAGCCTGTGCACGCTCAGCAGCTGTGGTATCAGACCCCACAGACACCAATTTTGGATGTCTTCCTTTTCTCTAGGAAACTTGGATCGTTGCTGTGGATGGACGAAACTCGTTGAACACTCGTTGATAAACCACCCCAACTGGTCTGAATGGATTTCGGCCATCGGTATCAGTCAACTCGGTTTTGGCGGCACATGATGGTTCAAATGATTGTGAAGGATTCCGTCCTGATCATTTTCACCACTCTCCCAACCATGATCCCAGTGTCGCGCCAAGAGCGTGCATGCCGTGCTTTTATTGTGCCGTCGTTCTGATTTGGACGCTCTGCGCGCAACAAAAACACCCAGTCTCCCTACTGCAGCGCATCATGGCTTGGATGGGCATGAGGGAACCCCAGACGGCTAAAGTTGTAAAATCGAAACCGCTTTCTGAAAGCCACGATTCAGGAACACAAAAGGTGCGATATGCATCCGAAGTAGACACTGTCATTGCACCCAGTCTGGGCCTATGTTTCCCCCCCACAACTCGTCCCGGCCAGCATGCAAATTTGCATGACAAGCTTCTCCGGCTGCGTGGTGCCAAACCCAGAATGTTCGTTGAGCAATTCGAGCTTGCGCGAGATATGCCCATCAGACTTCAATTCAGATATTTGACATATGCATGGCCGGCGGCCAGATGTCCAGTGGAACTTTCTGGTCTTGGGACTCCCGCGCTCCGTTTGTTGCCAGAGATGCGTTGATGCGTCAAGCGACAGCTGCCGAAAGCACGGGCGCTAGTGGTGAAAGAGGTGCGCTCCATGACAGTGGCTCACACTCACCAAATTGTTCACACTTTTCGGTACTTTTTGCTCCAATTCCCGTTCAGCCTGACTGCGCCTTTGTCCAGCCTGTGCACGCTCAGCAGCTGTGGTATCAGACCCCACAGACACCAATTTCGGATGTCTTCCTTTTCTCTAGGAAACTTGGATCGTTGCTGTGGATGGACGAAACTCGTTGAACACTCGTTGATAAACCACCCCAACTGGTCTGAATGGATTTCGGCCATCGGTATCAGTCAACTCGGTTTTGGCGGCACATGATGGTTCAAATGATTGTGAAGGATTCCGTCCTGATCATTTTCACCACTCTCCCAACCATGATCCCAGTGTCGCGCCAAGAGCGTGCATGCCGTGCTTTTATTGTGCCGTCGTTCTGATTTGGACGCTCTGCGCGCAACAAAAACACCCAGTCTCCCTACTGCAGCGCATCATGGCTTGGATGGGCATGAGGGAACCCCAGACGGCTAAAGTTGTAAAATCGAAACCGCTTTCTGAAAGACACGATTCAGGAACACAAAAGGTGCGGTATGCATCCGAAGTAGACACTGTCATTGCACCCAGTCTGGGCCTATGTTTCCCCCCCACAACTCGTCCCGGCCAGCATGCAAATTTGCATGACAAGCTTCTCCGGCTGCGTGGTGCCAAACCCAGAATGTTCGTTGAGCAACGCGAGCTTGCGCGAGATATGCCCATGAGACTTCAATTCAGATATTTGACATATGCATGGCCGGCGGCCAGATGTCCAGTGGAACTTTCTGGTCTTGGGACTCCCGCGCTCCGTTTGTTGCCACAGATGCGTTGATGCGTCAAGCGACAGCTGCCGAAAAGGCGCTAGTGGTGGAAAACGTGCGCTTCATGACGGTGGCTCACACACACCACACCAAATTGTTCAGTTGCGCTCTTTTCGGGACTTTCTGTTCCAATTCCCGTTGAACCTGACTGCGCCTTTGGCCAGCCTGTTCGCGCTCACAGCTGTGGTATCCCCCCACGGACACTAATTTCGGATGGCTTCCTTTTCTCTGGGGAACTTGGATCGTTGCTGTGGATGGACAACACTCGTTGAATACTCGTTGATAAACCAACCCAACTGGTCTGCATGGATTTGGTGCATCGGTATCCGAGCCCAAACTGCACTCGTCGCTATCGATTTTTCTGTCGGCTTTCATGGCTCCGGTTGGATCTGACGCCAAGCGCGGCCAGGCGGAGATGTCGCCGGGCTGCACCGCACCTCGCACTTCGCGTAAACGTGTTAGCCCAAGTTGGCCGAGCGGTTGTTTTGGCCTGTCCCGACTTTTTGTTTGTCCTTTGGAGGGCCATGTTTTTTAGATGACGTTTCGGCATTCGTGGAGAGAAAAACTAATTTTGGGGACGGGATGCCAAATTGGATGGGCAGAGGCCTTGCAGTGCCGTAAACGCCGCAGGAGTTGCGGTTTTTGCCGTTGCTCTGCGCTCATGTTGTTTGCCGGAGCCTGAACCGTGAACACGCTGAAGCACTTTTGGTTGCATCCACGCATTTCTTTTGATGACATTTTCCTCATCCTTGGGAGCATGCCTGGGTGACTCCGATGTTGTAATTGGCTTCCTGTGGCCTGTAGTTAGTTGTTTCCTGTGGTTCCAAGTCTGACGGACTCGTTCGAAGTAAGTGGCCGCACAAAAATCCTGTGGTCTTTGGTTCAGAGCCTCGCACCGCTTCCTCCAGCTTGTTCTTTCCATTGCTTACCTAACTCGGCGCCCTTTGGGCCCCAGTTTGAGCCAGGGTTGCTGCTCTGGCAGTGCCTAAAAATGATGGCCAAGCCAGTCTCAAGTGGAAGTTTGGTGAATGGTTTCCTTTGATTATTTTGTTAGAGCTCCCATTTGTTCTACCCTTTTGCCAGGTATTTCAGAGCAACCCTGCGACGAGGCAGCGTTGACGGCGTGGCTGGTGGAGCGAAAGGAAACCACAATGATTGGGATTCATAAACCCTTGGTCGAGTTATGTTGTCGTTTTGGTTTCGGCGCGGGTTCCTGTTGTTGCCATAGCCTAGGACGAGGAAACCCTGAGTTGAGTTAGTTGTTATGTAGTTTGTTTGTTTGTATGTGTGTATGTTGTGTGTGCTCGTTTGATCGCACGTGAGTGTATTGATTGATTCGGAGGTATGGCGAGTCCTGCGATTGATTTGGAGGTATGGAGCTTATAGTCGACTCCCTATTCCTCCAAACCCAACCTTTCCACCATTTAAGGGAACCTTGAAAAAGCTGTCTTTTTCGCGGACTAAATGGTTCTGTTTTTTTCTCCGTTCGATTATGATTCACATGGAACTGTTGAATTGTGACTCAGCCGTGGTTTCCGTCTCTTTCGAAAGAGCCCCAAAGGGATGCCCGTAATACGACCTCAGTCAGGCCACAACAAGGGTAGCAAGGCAGTCCCCGGAAATGGATGTCACTCACATTGTCGGCCGCCCATATCCCTACACATGGAGTTTTTAGGGGGGTCCTTGGGTTCGCCTTAGGTTGTCATGCCTTTCGTGGAGGGCTTGTTGGAAAAAACTCGCTTTTTGAAAACAGGGGCGTGAACACCCCAACTGGGCAATGAACAATGACTTTGTGGCTTTCATGTTGCGATTCATCAATGCATGCCTCATGTTTCCATGACCGGATGTGTCGCCTCAGTCGTGTTGTGTCCTCTGGAGGCATTTCCTCAGAAGGGTCTCCAAATAGAAGCAAACTTCTCCCTTGCTTCTTACTGTGTGCTCTTGTAGCATTGTGAAAGACATTTGGTCATTGCAGTCGTTGCTTGTAGGGTTTCTCCAAGATGCGGTGCAGTTTTGTCCATTTTGTTTGCGACAGGTCATGATCAACAGGGAAATGTTTGGAAGTCTGGGGAATCAACCTGAGAAAAAGGTCTGGCTTACAAAGTCTTAAGTCATGCTGGAGCTCAGTCGGGAATGACCCGTTTGGTTTTGGGAATGAACCGTTTGGGATTCCATTGGACGGAGAAAGGTTTGGCATAGGACGGAGGTGTTTTTTCTCGGGGTCATTCCATTTCTCATTCCCTGCCTATGGAACCTTTGAATCGAGCTGCCAGCGTGTCTGTTCATCTTGCCGCGTTCAGTTGGTTGGTTGGTTGCTTGGCTGGTTGGCTGGCTGGCTGGGCTGGCTGGTTGGTTGCTTGGTTCCCTGGTTCCTTGGTTTGTTGGTTGGTTGCTTGGTTCGTTCGTTCGGTTGCTTGGTTTCTTCCTTGGTTGGTTGGCCGCATGACTTGAGCTCCCGTGCCTCCGTGGCACTTGAAGGCCGCCGGCTTGAAGGACGGCGCAAGGCCACGGGCTCGATGGATCCTTCCTGCTGCTTCCCCTCAGAGTTGCGCGGCTTACCTGGAAAGGATCCCTGAGAATGGGGAACCCGCCCAGATGCGATGGTTCATGAAAGCAAACACTTGTTTTTTGTTTCCTCAGCCAGCATTACTTTTGCTCCCTGTCGTCAATCCATTCGTCTATTGCTCTTTGGCAGGACCCCAAAGGTAGTTTCACGCAGCGGGATTTCCACTTAGCTGCTTCTTGGTTTGACGCTTAGTTCTTGGAGAGCATGATGTCCCTACCAACAAGCAGACAGTTCAACCACGCGAGGCGGCCGCATTGCCGCTCTTGTCTTTGCAAGGCTGACTGACAAGGCAAGGTGCTGATTTGACAGATGCAACGTTCGACCTTTTTTCACCAACCATGTACTGTAGTAGCCGGGATGAGGTGCATGCACGTATTTTTATTATACACATGCCGAATTGCCATGAGAAAAACCAGGGCGTGAACATCCCAACAAATTCAGCGCCTGTGAACTTGACAATGAACAATGACTCGTGTGGCTCACGTTTGCGATTCATCCATTCGCCTTATGTTGAAGTGGCCAGAAGTGTCGCCTCAGTTGTCCCTTAGAGGGATGACTTCGGAAAGGGAGGGTGCGTTCTCCAAAAAAAAGATAGCAAGCCAACTGCAAGACTTAGTGCAACAGCTTTTTGTTCGTTCCTTACCTGCAACATAAACGGAACGGAGTCTTTTGGCATTGTGAAAAACATTTGGTCATTGCAGTCGTTACTCGCACGATTTCTCCAACATGCGGTGCAATTGTCTCGAGTGGTGCAACGGGTGATGTTCAAAGGGGAAATATTTGGAAGTCTGGGGAATCAATCGACATGGGGAAACAGACAAGTCAGGGGAATCAACCCACATGAAAAAAACACCAAGAACATAGAAAAAGGAGTACAAGTGGATGGGCTAGAAGCTCGCAGCCGTTTCCGTGCCCAAGCCCTCGATTGAGCCGCCCCCAAGTGGCGGCCTTCCGGGTGGGCGCTATGGAGGAAGCGCTGCTGCAGCTGCAGCTGGCCTTCGAGGAGGAGATTCGGCGGCAGGTGGCCCTGGCGGTGCAGAGCTACGAGGCGATCGGAAGCGAATTCCCGAAGCCGAAGCCGTGGGGCTGGGGCTGGGGGAATGGCCATGGCCATGGAGTCCAACGAAAAAGGGGACTGGGGCCAAGACTTGGCAATGGCCATGGGTCAAGATCCAAATCGTACCCCCGGTGAACATCCCAATCCCCACTAAAATAGACTAAAATGGGCCATCTGGCCCATGCGAATAGATTTCCGAAGTGGGACCGGGGCCATAAATTCAAACCTACTAAAATAGACTACGGAAAAAGTTGGCACCAACTTATTCCAACCTCTCTACTGGAGGACCTAGTTGGCAGCATATGGGTGTGGCCCCGACCAGATGGATGATGGATGGGTGTCCTTTGTGGCTCAAGAAGAACCCATTGCCCCAAGAAGATTCAAGGGATGGACGATAGGACCAACTTGTTTGGTTGGGAGGGTTCCCCTACTAAAAATAGACTACAGAAAAAGGGTACCTTTATTCTAACCTCTCTACTGGAGGACCTTGTTGGCAACACATGGGTGTGGCTCAAATTGATGTACCAAAAACGGCAGGGTAATAAGTGAGTCGTGTCACATCAACAACTTAAAAGCTGGTCCAAATTCATATATGGGAGCTCTTAAGTTGTTGATGAACATGACTCCTTACCGTTTTGATTCAATGATGTCCACCAAAGGGCCCCAATTCACAAGAATGCTCATCTATTTTTGCTGCTCAAGTGCTGGTTGTCCAAACGCTGAGGGTCCCAGACCCCTTAAAATTCTTCTTTGGTGGTTTCCCTGACCGTAGCTTTGCAGTTTTTTGTTTGTTTCTTTGTTTCTTTGTTTCGACGGGGAATGATTTTCGCTTGTAAACTGAAGAGCCAGCACGAATTCCCTGTTTCTAGTCCGAATAGCCATTGGGCAAAGAAATCACGACAGGTGTACCAAATCTGGAACTGTCATGTGTCCTGGTCATTTACTCGGAAGGCTCCACGTCGCAAACAACTCTTGTATGGTGAGCGCATTGAACACGAAGAACCAGAGTTTCCCAACAAATCGTGGCATACCCACTGGGCACGCCCTAAGGGGCACACTGGTCCTTCACCTTCCAGACAATCCATGTAGCCCTACAGGTATCGCGAAGAAGAGCCAAATGTTGCCAGCAAGTGTTATCCAGGGGTCATCAAAATAGGCAATCCTATGGTGAATTGGATCAGGCGGTATTCCTTGCAGCAAAGAATGGGACAGGCCGCACCAAGAAGTCAACTGAGTCCCTTGACCTTAGAGGAACACCTAGGACGCCCTTTTAAAGTGAGCAAGAGACAGCAAAGAAAGGAACAAACATAACACACCAAACAAAGATTACACCTGCCCTGGAAATGAGGTACGGGGATTTGAGACCTGTCGGAAATTCCGCTGGCGCCTGTTTATTGAGGATGGTCACCCCAACACCTTCTGTGGGTCGCCTTTGCGCGGCAGGGGGGGCGGATTATTACAATCCTCATTTGGTTCGTTCTGGCCCATTTAGTTTCTTTCTCATCCAAAGGCTAATTCTCAGGGGGGTTCTCACAGACCTTATTTCATTGTTTGTTTCTCCCCTCCCCCCCAGATCCATGACCAGAGCACTCGACGAGCCAAGACTTTGCTCGGAAATGTTGGGACCTGCTGAAGTCCAGAGTTGCAGGTTTGCCCCCCGTTGGTTTCGCCGAAACGCCCCGCCTTCCGCTTTTCCGCTTTTCCGCCCTGCCCCTGAGGATCGCGTGGCGGGCTTGCAGCAGGAAATCCTGCAGTACAAGGAGGAGAATTCGGGCCTGCGGACCAGGCACGGCTGGACGCAGTTTGCGCCGTTTTGAGCTTACTCGAGCCACGTCCTCAAGACCGAGTCGGGAAAATGAGATCCGGTTAGTAAGGGGGTTGCGGCCGGCTTTCTAGTTCTTTACATGGTTCTGGGTTCACCATTTTGTACCAGGTTTTGATTGTGACTCACTTGCAGTTTTAAGCCTACCAGGAGACCCAACCACCTATAGAATTGCAGTCTTGGTTTTATCACACGCTGATTTGAACATGTGAGCAGTTGATGTGTGCACAAAACGATCAGCTGCCCCACCCTCCAAGCACTATGCTTGGGGTCCTTGCCCCAAACCTCAATTCGCAACGCCAGGATAGAACTGGCCACCAAGCAGTTGGAGGAGATCACCGAGCAGAAGGAGGCCGCGAAGCCTGAGAGTGCGGAGGCGGCGGAGGAGGAGAAAGAGACGGAGAGCAAAGAGCCCGAGCACTCCCCAGGCGGGTTGGACATGGCGCGACAGGTGATGTAGGTGGCGAAAAGGATCGAACTGGCGATGCCCCAAAACGCCAAAACGCCTTCCCTGTCAGCAGGGTTCCCTATAGTTCACTGTTTGGTTGTGAAGACACAAAGACAAACAACAACAAACACAAGCAAGCAAGCAAGCAAGCAAGCAAGCAAGCAAGCAAGCAAGCAAACAAAGAAACCAACCAACCAACCAACCAGCCAACCAAGAAACAAAGAAACAAAGAACAAAGAAACAAAGAAACAAAGCAACAAAGAAACAAAGAAGCAAAGAAGCAAAGAAACAACGAAACAACGAAACAACGAAACGAAGAAACAAAGAAACAAAGAAACAAAGAAACAAAGAAACAAAGAAATAAAGAAACAAAGAAACAAAGAAACAAAGAAACAAAGACACAAAGAAACAACGAAACAACAAAACAACGAAACAACGAAACAACGAAACAACGAAACAAAGAAACAAAGAAACAAAGAAACAAAAAAACAAAGAAACAAAGAAACAAAAGAAGCAAAGAAGCAAACAAGCAAAGAAGCAACGAAGCAAAGAAGCAAAGAAGCAATCAAGCAAAGAAGCAAAGAAACAAAGAAACTAAGAAACTAAGAAACTAAGAAACAAAGAAACAAAGGAACAAAAAGAAACAAAGAAACAAATAAAAAAAAGAAAAAAAGAAACAAAGAAACAACGAAACAACGAAACAAGGAAACAACGAAACAACGAAACAAAGAAACAAAGAAACAAAGAACCAACGAAACAAAGAAGCAAAGAAACAAAGACACAAAGGAACAAAGAAACAAGTAATCAAAGAAACAAAGAGACAAAGGAAGCAAAGAAACAAACACACAGACAAACAGACAAACAGACAATCCAACAAACCAACAAACCAACAAACCAACAAAGAAACAAAGAAACAAAGAAACAAACAAACAAACGAACAAACGAATAAACAAACAAACGCACACAAACAAACACACACACACACAGACACGAAACACGAACAACCACACACACACAATCGCACACACGCACACACACACACACACACACACAAACACCTCTTCGGCTCATAGGTTAGTTTCCCTTTGTAGGGGTGATGTTTTTAGTGGCACGTCTTCTTTGAGCCTCGCCATTATATAGATTGCAAGAGTTTGCATGCAGAAGGTTCGATGGGGTTGCGGGATTGGTGGGGGGTGGGGGGTGGGTGCCCGTCACAGCGATGGCCCAAGTGGTCTGTATGATTGTGTGGTGCAGCAAAGGCGCCGCGGCAAGTGCGAAAATGTTTGCACTTAGGACGTCTGAATGCGGCGAGGAAGAGAACAAACATGTACAAACAGGTTGTGCGCTTGCTGCATGCTCTTTTTTGCACCCTGCCAGGTTCAAAGAATGCCATGCAGGCCATGCGAAACGACCAATCTTTTCCCGGGCTCCAAAAGGCTGTGCCTGGACACACCTGGAGTCGTGTTCAGCCGCCCGGACCCGGGCCGGCCGAGATGCCGGGGGACGAAAGAGATGCAGCTGACTCAAAAGCAGACCTTTTGACCTGTTGTGCTCCCCTTTTCGGCCAAAAACGCATGTCACCGCCCCAAAAGGTGAAGCGTTCAAAACCAAATTTTCTTCGAATTGCTTTTTCCTTAACACCCTCAAGCTTTTTCAAATTCCTTGGACAAATAAGGCAGCCAAAGACGCTGCTCTTTCGCCGGAGTGGAGAGCGGCCACCTGGGGTGCCCGGACCATAAGTCTTATCGTTCGGCCGCTGGATGTGGGGGAGGGGCGCTGTGTCGGCATCCTTTTCGTTCTGTGCGGAGAAAAAAGACAAACAGCGGGTCTTCATGTCGGGAAAAAGGCCCCAAGATGAGTTGCTTGGTTCCTTCCCTTGCGCTGCGCCTGAATCCAACCTGAAGTTCTGAAGGTCGCTGACCCAGAGGCCACACCCGGGTGACAACTTTCCCAACTCTGGCTATCTCAAACATCTACCCAAAACACGTGGCAACACAGAATGCATTTTCAACCTGCTCCAAATGGTACGGAGTAAAACATTAGAGCCACTGTGATTTGTGGTTGGGACCGCCCCTGATCCTCTCTGCCCCAGGTTTCGATTGTGGCTCAACTGCACTCCCATTTGACCTTGTTCCCGGTGTGGTTTGGCAATGGAATGTGCCGAGGTAGACCCATGCTTTTCATGGGATATCAACCGATTATCAACCCTTTGGATTTTGACACGTCACGAGAGCCGAGGTGAGAAGGCTCCGAAGGAAGTGAAGAAGCCTACTTGGCAAGTCGATTTGGGTATCGTTTCTTTTTTGAGGGTACCCGTTTAATGGGTTGGTTTCGAGGTAAACAGGGGAATGCAACAGGAAACCACCTGGTTGGAGGGTTCCAGTATTTTGAGACAAACCTATTTGGTCACCTTTTGGCATTCTTTTCTGGGTTTACTGGCAAACACTTGCTGGTCTCAGCAGGGAATGCGGGAAACGACCCTAACAAACGCCATCCCTTGATATCTCGCTTAGTCTATCACAACATCCCGGAAGGAAACTTGCCTGTCGGACTATTATACTTGTTGATTTCCCTCTTTCCAACAATCATTCCGACAAGCATCGCAGTGGATGATCGGGTAGTTTTGAAAGAGGGCATCCTCGTGAAAAGTCCCCATGTCCACATCCATGATTGTTGGATAACGGGTATTGTACTTGGTGAGTTGTCCACTTCCACCATTGTTGGACAAAGCGCCTGTTGAGTTATCATGTTAGTAAACATGTCTCAGCATGTTGGTGGCTCAAGCCAGTCAACACAGGTCACTTAAGTCATGGTCCAATCTGAATTTGTACGTTCTTCATCATGTTGCCAGTAAGTCGAACTTTAGGTCCACTTCAAGTCAAGGTAGGCAAACCTACACACACACACATTCAAACCTGAAAAGAGGGCCCCTGCTAGAGGAACATGGTTTTATGAGGTCCCTGAATCAGGGTCCATGCTTCACTTTTGGCATACACCCGTTCTTCCCAAGCCCTTGTGCGCATAGGTGTCCTTTTTCGGTTTGTTTGCTTAAAAATAGCTGGCGCCGTTTTTTTGGATCGATTTGTTATTCCATTTTCCAGGGCCATCATCTTTTTTTCCAGGGCCATCATCTTTTTTTCTCCAAAAGGCCACCTTTTGCCCGCAAAGTGCGGGGCGCGAGGAAGTGGTTCCGGGCGAACGTTGACATCTATTTGCGGCCGCAGCCCAAAATGGATGCCCGCTGGTACCGGCAGGCGGTTCGCAGAGGTGAGTGGTTGCGTGGCCAAACTTTGGCAGACCTTTTTCGGTTTCACGCAAGACGACACCGCCAGGTTTGGTCTATTTGGGTCTTTTGCTGGGTGTGTGCTTGGTGCGTGTGTTGTGTATTTTTTTCACCTTTCTCATTCGAAGCTTTCCCCCAACACCTCGAGTTTCCGTCTATTTGGGTCTTTTGCTGGATGTGTGTTGTGTGTGTGTGTGTGTGTTGTGTATTCTTTTCCGCTTTTTCTGTTTGGGTGATTGCTTGGCTGATGGTTTTCCGCCTTGCTTTCTTGCGCCGGCTGAATTCTCTTGCAGAAATGAGGACATTTCCCCCCAAAATCGGCCGGTGTGTGCGGGTTTTTCTTCGGCTCTGGGAGGCAACGGAAACGGCCCGTGGGACTCGTTTCTGTGGACCCGGGAGGGGGGGTGGACGTCCAGGTTTGCCTGAAACGAGCTTGTCACCTGGTTCATCTACCGCTGGGATTTTCGAGATCGGAAATCGGAATTCCTCCGGAAACGGGCGGCTTTGGGGGTTCCATGTTGATCTGCAGCAGCGTGACTAGACAAGACGTTATGACTGTTTCACCTCGACTGTTTGGACATGTGGTGCTTTCCAGTAGTCATGTCCAACGCCGCGGCGCATATGCTGCCTCCGCACAAGTATGCTACACTTGCGCGAGACACGTGTTGATGGGCGCAACCATATGTGTTCTACCAGCGCTTTTCAGGGAGGGGGAGCGGGGAAAGTGGGGTTAGGGTGGGCTTGTTTTCGCGCTGGTGCCATGCGCGCCATCGTTTGGCGTCGCAAGGGCAGCTTGAGCTTCTAGTTATTCGAAGCGCGGCCTCGACCCAACATGTTGCCAGCTGTCGCAAAGTGTTCTGCCCTTTCACCCTTTTCCTCGTGTTTTTAAGCCATTGAAAAGCTGCCACTTGCGTTCCTAAGTCTGGGCTTGGAAACGTGTCAGTCAGGTTTGAAGTGGACGGTGTGCAGCAAGACAACCGCATCCAAATGCTCCGTCTCAAAGACGGTCGGGGCTGGGTGCCGAATACCAAGCAGCTCCTCGGCAGCTTCGATCGGCAAAGGGAAATGAAAGGCGGTTCAGGTGTGCCTTGGCTTTTCACAGCACAGTTGATCGGTGAATGGTTCGGAACACCCCTTCCTGATGTTTGCGGGTGCGTGAATATCTATGTATTTCGGGTCCACCCAAGAGCGCGTTTTGGATCTACGTGCTATTGCACGCCCTCCTCGTCGGATCTCCGCCCAAAGTCCACAGACCTGACATCAACCTGGAGCCTTCAAGCCACACACAAAGACCACAGTCATACAGCAGCTTGGAGCAAAGAACCGAATGCGGCCCAGACATATCTTCGTGCAGCGCAACACTTAGAAAGCTTGCAGACAACGTCCCCAAGCCCAACACCCACCGCCAACCCCCAGGCACAGAACAGAGCCGATTGAATCGAGATTGGCCTTGCAAAACAGCAGTCTAAATTCATGTTCAGACTGGAGGGTGGAATTGAGCTTGCTCTGCCGAGTGCGCAAAGTCGACCTTTGACACCTCATTGACGGAGAAATAGCACCTTCCCCGCGAGAAGCATGCGCACAAAGATACACTCTAAACTCAACGCCCCCCCCCCCCAACAAAAAAATAATAGGGAGGGCCTTTGGTACTGATTCTCATACCTCCCAAGGGCCCTCCGAATAAAATATCATCCCATTAACTGGACAGCAGCTTTTTTTTAAATGTCCCTTTCCAGTTGGAGTTTTTCATCCAGAAGCTGGACAGGGGGGGCCTGGATTTTTGCATGTTCCTTTTTCATGTCCCTTTCCAGAAGCTGGACAGTAGGGACCATCCTTTCCATCCAACAGCTGCGGGCGGGCGATTGGATTTTTCGGTCTCGTTTCCCCCCCTCCCCCCCCCCACGCTGTGGGCGTTGATTTTTTTGTTTGTTTTTTTGTCTCCGCGCTGCCGAACGTGGCGCCCTCGGATCGCTCCGAGGAAGGGCTGGCCGCTCTGCGTGGAGTTCTCGGAGCGCGAGGAGTCCCGAGAGCGCGAGGCATGGCCACAGGAGACGAGGGCCAGTCGACAGAAGGCGCGGATCGGTGCGGCCAAAGGGGCCACGCCAAACCGAAGCGAGAGCATATATATATATAGATATATGAAAATATATGTGTATATATATATATATGTATATATATATATATACGTACGGCCCCTAAAAGTGCTTTTTAGGTCTCTCGAGGCAAAGCCGACCCCCGGCCGAATGAACCTCCTGGCTTCCTAGAGCGAAAGTGTTCCGACATGGGGTGCAACCTATTGATCAGCCAAGGGTTTCTCCCTCTCTGTTTCTCTCTCTTTCTCTCTCTGTCTTTGCTGCTGTCTAAGGGCGGTTCCCGCTAACTGAATGCAAAAGCAAGGTCAACCAAGGGTCTCATCCAGATTCCAATGATGGAACCCGAAGATGTCCACCCAAGTGGCTTCCGAACTCCAGAAGGACCTCCCTGAGTCACTGAAGCCTTGGCTGAGCCCACACTGGAGGAATGCTGGACGGCTGAGGAGTGGCAGGAGTGGAAGGCAAAGGAGAGGCAGTGGAAGGCAAAGGAGAAGGCGGGCCTTAGCAGAGTGTCTTGCTCCAACAAACACCTCAAGCCCTAATCAAGCGTCAACCCTATCTTTGGTTGGCTGGCCAAAAAGTCAGCCCTTCCCCAAGAAGCCCTACCAGCAGTACCCCTTCCTGGGGTTCCCAACAAACACCCCGCGCCCCCCCGAATTTTTTTTGGCCCAAGATGGACCTGAACCAACCCCAGGGACCTTTCGACGACTCCCTGGAGGCCACCTGGAAGACGATCGAGCGCACGGGAAAGGATTGGTCTGCGCCCGTCACGGACGTCCGCCCCGACCTGCCATCCCTCGAGGCGCCCGAGGAAAACCCTTGGTTTGGTGTGCGAAAATAGGTGTCCTTTTTGGTTTGGTCGAACAATTGAGGGCGATTCCTGGTTTGGTTCAATCAACCACCTGGTTTACCTGGTTTACCTGGTTCACTCAACCACCAGGGAAGCCCATCTATTTTCCCAAGAAGGACACCCAGTGTGCGGTTTCTGGAGACTGCGCTTTGCTTTCTGTGGCTCTTTTCGGTGCTGTGTCGTTCCTTGGGCGTTGCTTCTCCTTTGGCGTTCCAAAACCGATCCCCCGATTTCTGGTAGAGTTTAGGTCTCCCTTTGAGCAACTCTCGAAAAGATGGTCGTCTATGGCATCCCGGACGTGAGATGCCCACCAAGTAAGTTCAAAATTCCACCGAGAGACCTGAAAAAAAGGCAACATGTCAGCAACCATAGCTGCCCATAGGGTGTCCTATCGGAGCTATAAAACTGTGGGCTCTTGGACAAAGGTTAGACAAGCAAAAGTGAACCCCAATTCATAGTTATTCAATGGGGATGAATGACCCCCAAATCTGAAAGCAGAAACACATGAGAGCATCAAAACAACACGTTTAGGGTTAGACGAGATTGTATGGCCCAACATATAATATTGTCACTACTGAATCTTAGCTTCTCAATGCTACGCTCAGTATTGCCAACACTCAACTTCTCAAGACAGTGAGCAACTGCCCGGGATCCCTTGTTGCCATTGCTTGATCTCTTTTTTTCCAGTACTGAATTCAACATGGTCAGTACTAAATCTTGATAAATCTTAGATCCCCCAAATAGCTACTCTTAGGTTCCCAATGTTAAATCGATAACTTCAGTATTGCCAAGGCTGAACTTAGCCCGTTACTAGATTCAGGATTGCCAAAACTCCTAGGTTCACCTAGGTGTCTAGGTGGCCAAGGCAACCGAGCGAACCTGGGAATCAACGGCTAAGTATTGGCAACACTGAGTTTGGTGAGGGCAAGGCTGAAATCTAGCCCGAGGAACCTAAGATTCAGTATTGAAAATACACAAAATCTTTGTTATTGGCAGCACTCAATTTGGTATTGGAAGTACTCAACCTAGTCTCTCTTTGAACCACTACTAAATTTAGTATAGTCAGTGCTTGATCTTCGACCCCTAAAATGCTTATACTAAACTAGGTATTGCCAATACTTGATTATTGATTCTCGATGCCAAAGTTGGTGCTTCCAACACTAAATTAAGTATTGCCACTACTTAGTCATAGATCCCAAAACTGCCAATGTTGTATTTAGTATTGCCAATACTTAGTCTTAGCTTGCCCATCCTAAACCTGCCAGTCTAAATTCAGTGTTGTCAATACTGAATCTTAGGTTCCCAATGCTAAATCCAGTATTTGGGTGCTGAACTGAGTTGCATTGCCAATACTTAGTCTTTGCTGCCGGAGGGGGGGGGGCAAAACAATCACCACTTGGGATTTCTGCATTTACTGAGGGTGTGTCTTCAACTTTTTGTTTTACTGAGGATTTGTTTCAATAATTTCCATCCAGGACATAGTTGCCGACATGTGTGCTTTTTGTTTCGGATTTGAGTTGTTGTGTAAGAGTTTTGCATTGACCGAGATCTTTTGAGCTTTGGATCTACAGAGTGTTTTTGGGAATCCTCGGGGTTTTTGAGACATTTCCCGACAGGACAGGTCTCGATTGACAGTGCTTTGTTTGCGTAGATTATGCAAATGACACGCAGCTTTACCTAGGTCCCGCAGTAGTGCCCTTTTTCCCTTTTTTGGGGGAGGGTTCCCCTACCAAAATAGACTACAGCAAAAAAAAGGGTACCCTTATTCTATCCTCTCTACTGGAGGACCTTGTTACGGTGGTTTGCAGTGCTCAGGGCTACCCTCTCACGGCAGGTGAGCCACAATCAAAACCCGGGTAGATGAAGGTTAGTACTGGACAATCCCCTTGCCCTAAATAGCTGCGGATATCCGCCTTCTTAATTCTTGAAGCATGGTTCTGGGATTACGACCATTTTAGTACCGGGTTTTGAGTATGATTCAGGCGAGTGTCCTCTTTTTAGGTCCGAAAAGTCCATGGGTTCCAGTGCTTGAGACTGGTGTTGTTGTCCCATTTACCGGGGAAACCCATCTATTGGTCCACAAAGGACAACTAGGTTGATAGGGCGAATCGCCAGGGCCTGGTGAAGAACAAGATCTACGTTGCCAACGTGCAGATCCGGGTGCGCGAGAGCCGGCAGTACGGGGCACCCGGCAGCTGGGCGCATGGCCTTGGCATGGCTCAAAGTTTCTCTAGGGGAAACCTGACACCCGCCCTAGGGGGTCATTTAAACGGGGGAAACGGCAAAAAAAGAACACCACCCAGTCAGCATTTGTCTTGGAGTTGATACACCGAGACCCTAGAACAGCGAAGCCCACCCAAGCTCAGGCGACAAGATGCTGCAGCCGGGGGAAGTCTTCGAAGTGGACGCCTCGACGGTGGACGGCAGCGTGAAGATGCTGCGGCGGGAAGAAGGGGGCTGGGTGCCGCTCGTGGAGCCGCCGCCCGGCTTGGCAGCTGCGAGTTTTCGTCTTTTCGTTCGGCCTGACGATTCGTTGTTTATTGCAATTTGGAAACGCATTTCACTTTCTTTGAGGAATCTGGCCTGATGAGAGGCGAGTTGTTTTTCTTTTTTTTTGGCACCCTGCAAATGCATTCCAACTTTCCTGAAGGAATGCGAATCTCTGAAAAAAGAGGCACTTGCCATGAAAACCTCAGGTGTCTCAAGTTATATTGCTTCCTGGAGCACCCTTCGTTAAAAAAAAAATCTGCCCTTAGCCCAAACGTATTGCAAAACCAGCGGTCGTCACCAAAATATGGTAAACGTACACTTGTTCCTGCTTCGAGCGTTTTTTCCCAAAACCGGGCTGGTCGGTCCTCCAAGATGATCGGTCGCTGAATTTTCGAAAGGAGCGAGCAGAAATTGAAGTGTAAAACGAGCGCAAATATCCGCAAACCGAGCGCAAATATCCGCAAGCAAGTTCAAATTTAAAACGTAACAATGCCCGCCTTGCTCTGGATGGAAGAAGGGGATTTGGTCGAGCGCTTTTTCGGGGGGCAAGCTTTTTTTTAACGGTCAAACAAAAATCAGTAATTCGAGAGTTTTTTCTCTTACCTAAAAAATGTCACGTTGGGTGCCTTAAGTTTTTTCTTCTTCTTTTTTATGTGGGCAACCCAACTCATCAAAGGGCACGAGACCCCATTTGGTGCACTTTGATTCTGGGTGGCGGAATCAACAAGTCGCAGCTGCGTTACGGGCCAACATGTTATGCTTCAAGATTGCGAATCTATCAACTCATTAAATCACCATAGACAATTGGTATGTTGTCCTCTTTGATTCTTTCTTCTACAGGGGCCAACTTGCTATCCTTGTGAAAGGGTGCGTTTAAGACTTGAGCTTGTGAGAGACATGAATAGGGAACCCAAGAGTTGTAAGTATGATGACAAGCTTGCTTGTTTCCGTACCTGTTTGGAAGCCTATGTCAGACCTTCCCCAGTTTCCCGTTTGCTTTGTAGACCTTACCTTGCGGTCCAATTCAAAGGGAGCGCCCTCTAGGAGCCTTCGGTGTTTCGAGGATTTCTGAGTCACACAGCAAATCCATCCAACATCTATTGCAGTAGGCAACCTGGAAACCGTTGTGTAACATGGATTGCGGCAGGTGCCATCATGCAAAAATAACGAGGTGTTCGGGAGTAACAACTCATGGCCAGGCAATTTCCGCCCTCAAAGGCGGGCAATGGGCACGGCGGCACGAGCCAAGGAACGGCGAGCCAGTTTGCAGAGAGTGCGAGCCAAAAGAGCTTGAGCGCAAGGAGGCAGGTGCAAAAAATCTGCAGAGAAACAGACCTCCGGTGGGGCATGGCTACTCGTCGTTGCTTTTTCATTTGGAGCGGTCTAAGCAGCCGGGTTGGTGGCATTGGTTTCAACGAGTTTTCGGTATGCTTTCCCTCAAAGCGGAAACCGCGGGGGGAACTTGTTTCATATGCGAAGCCAAAACGGCAGTTTGGCAGTCACATGTGGCGAAGCCAGCGATCCGATGCCTTAGCCTTTTAGAGACTTTTTAGTGTTTAGCTTTTTTGGATGTCCATTTCACCCACTAAAAGTTGAGACCTGAGGGGGATTTCACCAATTAGCTTTTAGCCTTTTTTAAGCTTTGTTCCATTTCACCCGTCAGGGGATCCAAAGTTGAACTTTTAGCAGGTGATTTAGCCTTTTAGCCTTTTAGCCTTTAGCCTTTTAGCCGCCTTTTAGCTTTTATAGTGTTTGTCTTCTTCTTTTTTTCTTTTGCTTTTTGGCTTTTTTAGATGTCTATTTCACTCACCAAAAGCTAAACTTTTAGCAGGGGAGCTGAGGGCAGCGTTCACATGTTTCAGCAGAGATCTAGCCCTGCCCTGCTAGGCCAAAAGCATTGGCCCGACCGCTGGCGTGACGGGACGCTCATTCGATTTAGCGTTCTATGGGTGTTGTTGTCTCCTTGTTTGGCGTGTTTCTGTGTTTCACGTTTCTTTTTTTGTTTGTCTCGTGTTCCAGTGTTTTTTCTCTTTTTGTTGCTCTCACTCTTGCACTTTCTCTTTCTCTTGTGCTTTCTCTTGGTCTTGCTCTTGCTCTTGCATTCTCTCTTTCTTACCTTTTCTTTTGCGCGAGTCCTTTTCACGAATTCCAAGGAACGCGACGGATGGCGTGAAGGAGCGTGCGTCCTGCGCCGATCCCAACGAGTCGCTTACTTGACTTGGCAGTGCTGGCGTTTGTTTTGCTTTTTCGCTTGCTTTTAGGCTCCTTTTTGGTCTCGCTTTAGGGAGTTCCTTTTTCAGGTTGCTTTTGGTTCATGTTGGCCCCTGCGTGTGCGTGCTTGTATGCCAAGAGTTCCAACCACGGCCAAGGAGACGATAGAATCATTTCAAGATTTCGCGCTCGCAGATGGCCACTTTTCCGTGAGACGAGCGACGTGGCAGCTGGAAAAAAAACTTCAGCGCTGACATGTTTTGGAAACACGCTTATGTCTGGCGTCCTGAAATCCCTCAGTGGCAGCAGTTTCCTGTGCTTCAGCTCGTTCTCTTGGCCGCGAAGTTGTACATAGGCCAATGGATCGCCTGAACGACGTGCCGGGGAAATGTTTCGTGGACCCAAGGGTCGGGCTCGGAGTTCACGAGATGTCCAGCTTTCCGAGAGGTTTGTCGATTTGCAAGCGGTTCCGGGCTTGCATCACACAGGCGCCCTGCTTTGGCTGGTTTGTAACGTCAACCTTTTTTGGGGGTCTCCTAGTTTGAGACACAGCCACATGGATTGGAAGCGCAAGATGTTTCCTGGGCTCAAGGAAGCCGTTGGTAGGTTCCCTTGGGACCACTCCACGTTCCCATAGAGCACGGCGCCTTTGAAGTGAGCAAAAAAGGCTCACCGCCAGACTCGACTCGACCGCAGGTTTCTGGCTTGCGGTTGCCTTGGCCAGTGCGACAGAACAAGACCCCCCGAAATTTCCGCCCGAAACGAGTCGCCCTTTTGGTCGCCCGGATGATCCGTGGGTCACCCGGGTCACCCGGGTCACCCAATTCCGCGTCGAGTTCCTGCTGCTTACCCTTTGGATTGGAACCAGTGGGTTTTGAACTTTTTGAACTTCGAGGCCCCAAGGGGTAAGCGGGCAACTGGAGCCTAGCCTTGCCGAAAACCCGCCAGTGAGAAGCTGGCTACGGTAAAGAAAGCCTTCAGGGTTCTGTGTGTTAGCGCCGGGCCGAATTCGGGGAGCGGATGCTTAGCATGGGGAAAGACATGTGGTCATTTCAAGTCCTTACGGTTTCTGCCGGCGCAACCGAGTTCCTGTTGCTTGCGGGTGATGTTCAAAGGGGACATGCAGAGCAACAGAACAGCTTGCGGTGGATCAAGACAGAGCAACAGAACAGCTTGCGGTGGATCAAGACAGGGCAAAAAGCAGAAGCAAGTAAGTAAATTAATTCAAACAAAGAAAGGCAGGCAAGCAAGCAAGCAAGCGAGCAAGCAAGCAACCAAGCAAGCTCGGGTCAATTTGGGTTTGGCACCTGAGTTTGGGTCAAGGGGGCCCTGGCTCATGGGGCAGCTGAATGTTCCTCCAGTTTCCTTGCTGGCTCCTCGCTTTGGCCGAGGGAATGTTCGGCCGGAAGATCCACCAGAGTTTGATGTAACGGCCCCCACTTGAGAAACTGGAGGTGCACAGGGATTCTTCCTTTTTTTCCAGGGCCCAAGTGAATTTTTCATGGATTCTTTCTCTGATCTCGGGCGTGGCTTTGCATATGAGGTGCAACGGCGCAACTCCCAATCCGCTTTTGGTGAACCGGGGCGGCATCGGTGGGCGAGTTCCCGGTCGCACCTCTTTGGCTCCGGGTGCTTCCGTGAAGCCATGCGGCTTGCATGTTGCTATTCTTCTGTCCTTGTCACGGGAACTAAATAAAAGCCCGCAAGCTTTCAAGAGCAACCAATCAGAAGACCGAAACCCTATTTTGTAGGGTCCTCCGTTTGAGACTCATATTCCTGATCAAATAAATATTATGCTGGGAGAAAGCTTACTTTACATGACAAGCAAGATGTGTTCTTCTGAAACCATTTTGTAAAAATAATGATAGAAAGAAAACAACACAAAGCGTTGGCAGGTATTTTTGGAGCGTGCTGTCCAGTGAAATCGAGGGACAGCGCATGTGCAAGGGTTCTACCGATGCGTCTTCAAGCGTCTTCAAAACCCATTTGTGTCCCATTTTTGTTTTTGAAGACCCCTGGTGTGTTGTCTTAAGAAGCCAAAAGGAAGCTGGCGTTGAGACAACCCCTCGGGCTTTTTCGACTGCACTGTGTCAACTCAGGTGGCTTAAAGACGCCCTCCCTGCGCATTGTCCCACTCGGTGAAAATCGTAAGGGCCATGGCTGAATTTGCCCCATGGGCTGCGCCCAATCGAATGTAGCCGGAGAGGAAGTGCCGCTCGCCTGGAAACGATGGGCACGACGCTTTTCAGGGTGCATGTTTTTTTGGGGTGGTTTCAACTAAAAGCCAACAGGAGACTAGCCACGGTTAACCCCCGAAAAGTAAGACACGCCCAAACAGGTGTTTTTTTATTTTATTTATGGAAACCCTTTTTGAGGGTGTTAAGCACCAAATCGTTGTCAAAATGGGGCCCATCGGTAGCCTTTTTGGTTGATGTGTTTGAGAGCTCCCTTATTTTGTTTGTTGTTTTGTGCGGCTTTACACAGCACCTTGAGCAGGTGATTTTCCCCTGACCAAACCTCAACTGGGAATTCAAATTTCTACCTGTTAACGATTGGACGGGGAAACCGCTGCCCGCGTTTTTTGGGGCGCTTGGTTTTTTTGGGATTGGGGGGACTCTCGAACATGGCGCGCAGGTTTTCAGAATTCAACGCCCCAAAACGAGTACCTTTCGCCTCGGACGGCAAGGTATGGGTGAGTTTCTGGGAGGCTTGGGGCCCCTGAATGAAGTTCTGAAGCGGGTTGGCTTTCTGTGGTTTTCCAACTAAGCCAGCACCTCCCCACGACTGTTTTTGGTTACCGTACCAAGAAAATGTTGCACATGGTTGAAAAAGCAGTTGCAAGTTGGGGGGGGGGTGTTGGCTGTAATCCCCCCGGACTTCCAAGTCTGTGCTGCATTGGCAACCAGGCAGAACTCAGTTCGCGCTTGCGATGCCCGAAAAAGCAATGCAAATAACCCAGGTAACCTATGCAGAAATCGAGTACCGAAGTACGTATTGTACTACTTATAGTTAACCTCCACTGGAGCACCCGACCAAACCTTCACATTTGAAAGTTGGTAATGTTAATTTCGGGCTCATTCGGATTCTTTTCTGGGAATGCCCCAATCCCCATCGCTTACCCCATAGAGAACTCCCTGACGTTTTTTCCGATCCGAAGTCGCTCGACGTTCATCCCGGTGTGACCAGCCAACTTGTCCTCTGGAAACCTTCCATCCACCCGGATCCCAATTGACCATTGCTGTGGGCCCGAAGGAGGAGGGTATCTGGGCTGAAGAATTCCGTGAGCAGGGGAAGCTCCAGCTTCCACTCAACTCAGAGATCGGTCCCCAAGTTCAAGAGACGACGTGGGATCTCCAAATGAATCGGGAGGGAACCTTTTCCCGAGCCACGGTTGAAACCATGTGATTCTCAATGCTTGATTCCATGTCCCTGGTTTAGTGGTAACCAGTCCAGCACCCGGGTCCCGACCGCAACCACTGCTTTTTTGGTTACCGCACCGATTTTTGACATTGGTTGGGTTTGGTCAAATCAGATTTGTACGTTGGTTTAGGCTTCGGGCAGGGGGGCCTTGAAGATCCTTACGTTCAGTTTGGTGTGCTGAATTCTTTGGACGCTGCGGGCTTTTCCCAAGACTTTGTATTTTAGGGCAATGTAGCCACAAGGTGAACCTGAATAAGAGAATCTGTGCTCTTTCTGCCAGCGTCAGGATCCAGTACTGCTTTTTGGTGTCAGGGGGGGGGTTTGGCTTCTGGTTCAAAAGCGGTTGCCATCTCACCTCCTAAGGTTTCAGCTCGGCCTCTTGGGCCATCCACCCCCGGAACCCCCGGAAGCCCCGGAACCCACCCCCGCTTCTGTGGGTTACTTTTGGGGAGTCCTCGCCATTTCAGAAGGATCTCGATCGGAACGGCCCAATCCAGCTCGTGGGTTGGGTCGCCGAGGTTCTTCTGCGGCAGCGGCCAGAAGCTCTTCCGCGGCCAGCGCGGCAAGGTGGAGCCCCTCGGGTTTGAGGTGGATCCCGAGTGGTTCAAGGCGTTCCTGACCCATTTGGCCCCCATGAAAAGAAGGGCCGTGCTTGGGGAACCAAGTTGGATGACCATCCTCAAGTAAACAACCATGGTTTTAATGGTTGATTGAAGCAACCATGGTTTTTGAAGCCAACCACTTCGGGGAGTGTTTTTTTTTCTTCTTTTAATTTGTTGAACCACCACGGTTTCAGAAATTCATCCAAACAGGAGTCCCCAAAGCGCTGCTTCCGTTCGGCTTCTCTTTCAAGACCGTCAAAAGAGGTTCCACTTTGCAGAGATCATCAAAACCGTGGCTTCCTGACACTTCCCTTTTCTCTGTTTCTTCCCCGAAGAAAGACACCATCCAACAAGCGCCACCCGGAAAGCGCTTCACTTTGCTCACGTTTCTAGTGGCTACCTTTGGCCCATGGCTCCCGCACTCGGCACTCGAATGCTCGAATGCTCCAAGGAATGTGCGGCGAGGTCAGGCTGCTCGACCTAAAGAGTCGATTCCTTGCAACCGGTGGATTCTGATCGGAGGGTTTTGGAGAAGCACAGCCTTTTTGTCCGATAGACATGGTGTTAATGTCTGTTGGAAAAAATAGTTGCTTTTGAGTTTTTGATCATGTTGTGGTTGTGTTGTTTTGATTGTTTTGCATCTTTTGAGAGGTCAATAGTTTCCCTGTACAAGTTTTGTACAAGTCTATGATTGTTCGAAAGAGGGTAAGGGCACCTCGAGTGATTGCTTACCTTGGGGTTTCCCTTTAAAATGCGAAAAGCAGATTCAAGAGGGAATGGTTTTGTCTAACAATTTTGCCCTTTCAATCCAAACAAACCAGCACCTTAGTTTTGGACCAACAAACCCTCAATTCTCCATGTCCATTGCTGGAACCGAACATTCTGACTGTGCCTGTGTGCGTTTACCCCATCAAGGACAATTTCGCTCGTGGCTTGGAACCTGAAGAACACCCTCCCCAATTCGCCTGCTTTGTCCACCGGCTCTGTTGTGGGTAGAGTTTTTTTCTTTTTGTGGGCCTCATCAAAAACAAAGCCCTCACAGGTCATGCCATGCCGAAGTGATGCAGGCTTCACCTAAAATCTGCAGCTGGACTTAGAGAGAGAGAGAGACGTAGACCGGAATGTAAACCCCAATGCTCGACGGTCGCAGCCCAGAAGGTCTTATAGCAAATCATAGAATCCCAAAGTATATTCCGCATCCGGCATGCCGCCCACAAATGCCTACCCGAATCCCCGCCACATGTATGGAATCCTTTCTGATCAACCGCAGTCACCTTCTAAATCTAGATACTGCCCGCATGCCTTAGTTTGCCAATGTTGATTGCTCTGCAGAAACTCAAAAAGTACCATGAACACCCCACAAAAGCATCCATTAAGGCGGAGGGTGACGACTTGGACCTATTTTCCGGGGTTCCATCCTTTCCGTATGTCAGTGCAAGACTGCCCCGATCGATTTCCAGTCTCATGTTGAATCGCTCATGCCCAAAATCCATGTCCAAGAAGGCAGTGGCGGGGGGGCTGGCTTGGGATTGGCAATGTAAAGCCCGAGCCCCCATCATCCCCACCCCCTTCCAAATGGACGTGGGACTTCCATTTATGGTTGCATCTTTTGTAGTTTCCAGTTCCATGTAAAGCTCCATTGATCGTTCCTTTTACAGTTCCGTTTTTCCTTTATTGTGGGCAAGACTGACAAAAATGGGAGCAGGTTCCCGCCCCCCCCACCTCCCCACCTCCACATTCAGGTAGGGACCAGTCCTTCGGCCCTAGATCCGTCGAGCAGAAAGCGAAGGAAAAGCGTCGGCGGGTCAGCGACCCCTTCAGCTTCGAGCGTGGTCTGGTTTTGTCTTTTCTTTACGGGGGTGTGGTTTGGGGGGGGGGGTGATTGACCTCCATTTGAGCTGTTGGTTTATGGGCGACCGAACAAGACAAACACGTGTTGCCCATGGGGCAATTCGCGCGCCCAGGTCATTGTCAGCTTCGAGGGAAGAGGCTGGGGACTGATTCCTTCGGGTTCGATTCGATCGCTTGAAAAGGACAGTCAGAGGTGGTTTTCGACGAATTCTTTTATCCTTTTCGGTGTGGGTCAAAACCCGGACACCTTTTTTGTGTAACGTCCCTTCTGAGTTTGGTGCATTTAAAGAGGGAAGCTGCGTCAGTAGGGGGGTACCAGGGTTTTGACCTGGCTTTTGGAACCCCTCGAAAGTTTTCAACCCACCCATTCCTTTTGACCACGCGATTTAAGGTAACTTTCTCGTCGACCGTTGCGGTTGGATTTGAGCCAATCCACGTCGGAGAGTGCAAGCGGATCCGTGCCATCCAGATTTCAGGGGCTCAACCACATCCAACTATCACTATACGAGGCACGGGATTTCTTCACTTACATGGTTTCCCTTGCTTTTATCCAAGTAGAGTAGCCACAAAAACGGCCTAAAAAATTTGTGGTCCACTTGTATGAGTGGTGTCCGTTTCTCACTTCTCGAGTTCTTGGACTTGAGCAGTTTTTCGGAAAGACTATCTTAGTGGCAAGTCGAAAAGTTCGGTGACCTTTTTTGGGGCCATCCACGCAAGAAAGTGAGCTGTTGTTGGCATTTTTTTTTCGGTTCATTGTTATGTTGTTGCAGAAAGAAGGAGCCCCTTGTGTTCCCTTTTTGATCGCTGGCAGCACTCGGCTTGGTTGCTTCGCCAGGATCCCCGGTGACGCTGGCGCCGGAAGACGTGTCACGCGAGCTGCCGGAGCTTTATGACCCCATCGGAGCCACGGCAGATGCTCCGGCGGGCGGCTTTTTGGTTTTTCGGATTTGGGACCACCCAGAAATCCCAGAAGGCAACAGGGTTTTCCTTTGGGCGTCCCTTCGACACCGCGAGAACTGTACCCTCAACAAAAACGACACACAAAGATATAGAGAGAGAGAGAGAAACCACAAGAGGGGGGGGGAAGGGTTTGAAGCAGAGCGGGCTCTTTGTGCACGCCAGTATCCATGGTTTTCCTCTCGGACACAACACAAAGGGTTCCCGGCTTTGATCCAGATTGTTGGTTTGTCTTTCCATTCCGAAATGTCCCAGCCGGCTGCTTCTGGCATCCTCCCGGCGTTGTCCTCTGCAATTTCAGGGGTCGATCCTCATTCTTTTCAACTGTCTTTAAATAAAACCACACGTTGTTTTTGCATGGTCTTTTGCGCTTGTCTGCTGAGAAAGAATGGGGAAGTTACCCCTAGAGCACTTGTCGCCCCTTGGCAGATGGTTTTGAAGGGGATCACGAGGACTTCCATGACACGATACCTTCAAATTCCGCCGTGGAGGGGCCTCCCTTTGTCCGGTAAGGCGTCGAGGGTACTGCGGGCACTACGGGCGAAATGAACAACAACTTAAAGAGGAAGGCGTAATGAATTCACCCACCAGCAAACCGATCTTGGCAGATCTCAACGCGATTCTTTTTTCAGATCACTACCCCTCATAGTGGCCATCTTTAGGACATTCCACTGGGTCAACACATCCAGATGGTTCGTTCGGGGTTCGAGACACGCTCAAAGTTTCAAAAGGGACTAGCCCGCCTTTCATCCTCTCCACAAACCTATCAAGAACTAACGGAACTTCCTGGAAGGGACTCATTTTCCAGCTGACAAAACTACTGGACTCTTGGTTTGCCCGCCCAAGCTTCCCCCAGAGGCATGAAAATTCAAGCATGTGCAGTGTGTCACTGTGAATATTGATTGTGGCTCATTGGGAAACGGTATGAACCCCAGTTTAGGGGCGAATTTACGGTTTTGGTGCCGAAAAAGAATGGGCATAAGTTCGGACATTGAGCCTTTGTCCGTTCATGCCCTTAGTGACATCTTCTAAATTGTCGAATTCATGATCTCACCACCGCCCAAAGCAAACAAAACACTGTTGACCTTCTTCCCGCCCCGCTTTGACCTGAGGTGCCAAAGTGTACTATGGCGGGCCCCGATGCGGCGCGGCTTCGAAGGAACCATAGGGAGGGTTGCTCAAAAGGTGCATCCCGGCACCCGAAATGGTCCGAACTTGCGACTGCCTTGTTCAACCATGCAACCAAAACAAGGTCCTTTCAGTACGGCTTCACCAAATTGCGGTGGTTGGGAGTTGGGACCCGGGTGCTCTATTTCTCCGAGAAGGACGAGCTCGGATTCCAAGGATTTGCGAATCTGCAAAAACGTAGCTGGCCAATGGGACCTCTTTGTAGGCCCCTGGGCCCCTTCAAGCAGGAGACTCACCGGAAGTTGCGTTTGGAACAAGCCTCACCTGATGGGTGGACTTGTGGGAGCATGGCTATGGTTTAAGGAGAACGGGAAGCGCACTGTGAGTAAACATTGCTAGGAGTTCTCCAAGATGCCAACTGTTCAACTGTACCCAACTGATGGTTACTTTCTCCAAAAGGGTGGCTGATGGAGGGGTTTTAAAGGGAAACCAAAAGGACAACCACCATTTGGGAGGCCCCTTGCAGCAATCCCCTTAATTTTGACTCTCTCTCTCTCTCAAAATTGGCGGCGCCCTTTTTGTTTGGTTTTGAAGGTACACCGGGAGCACGCCAAGCATTTTACGAGACACCATGTCCCTTGCGAAATTTTGACGCACACCATTTGGGCATGTGGGTTTCTCAAGCAGGTGGTGCCCCTTTTTGTGTGGTTTTGCCTCCAAGCATTTTACGGGGCTTGGAATGTTCACTGGGGGTACGATTAGGATTTTGACCCATGGCCAAACATCGTTCTTTTCAAAAACCGGATCCGTTTTCCCTGGGGGTTTTGATGGTTTCCTGAAATTCGGATCCCTGGGTTCAGAATGGAATTGGAAGGTACCCCTAGAGAAACATCTGTTCTGAGGCACGTACGCCAACGGCGAGTCCCTGAACTTCGGCCAGCAGGGCGAGCTGTGCGGGTCGTATGGAACGGTCTCGGGCGGCGACGCTCGGCTCGCTCTCGGCTCGACATGTTCCTTTCATGGGGCGGCTTTATAGGCCATTGGTTTCCAGTTTGCCCAAAAAGGAAACTGCGTATTTGAGTTTCTGACTTAACAACATTTGCTCCAAACCAGCGCCCGAAATGGTCCCAACTTCCCCGTCTTTTTCAACCCATGCTTCACCATCCCCAAGAGCAGCTGCACCAAAATGCAGTGAGGGCCATACCGCATCGGCTGGAAGGAAGCCAATTTGGGCATGGAGTTATTTTTCTCGGATTCGGACTCGCTGAAATGGGGATGGCTCAAGTGCTTCCCATTCTCTTAGCTTTCTAGAACCAATCCAACCAACTCAGGATTAGCCCATTAGTCTTGTGGCTCAAAACTCAACCATGTGGACCGCTGGGTTTAGTACCATGTTTCCATTGACCAGGGCAACCCATTTTGGGGTTACCCCATTTTTTGAGCCACACCCATTTGAACATGCTCCGAATCACTCGGGAGCCCGTGGGGCGACGGAATGACTCATTGTGAAAGGCGGAACGGACTACGGGTTGTCTCGCGGCGCGGTGGGGCTTTGACCCACACCCAAATGAGTGACCTATCTTCATGGCCGTTTTTGAAGCTGACTGAACTCGCGATGTTCAAACAGAAAGTTGGAAACAGCTGTGGGTCGGTGGGGTCGCTGGCCAAGCGGGACATGGAGGGAATGGGGCCCGGGCTTCCGAATGTTTGGACTGTAGCTTGTACATGGCTCGAGAAATGGAGGGTTTGGGGTGACTCTAGGGCTACCTTCCAATTCCATTCTGAACCCAGGGAGCCTTCTTTCTGGAAAACCTCCGGACACCCAGGGAAAACGGATCCGGTTCTTGGGAAGAACGATGCTTGAAAAGAATGGACAAGGAATCAAACCCTAGAGTGATGCTAAGGCTTTTTTCATGAATCTAGGGCCCATCCGCTGTTTTCTGGGGTAAATCTAGTGATCACACCTGTTTTTTTTTGTAAATCTGCTGGCCGTAGCGGGGCCCAACCCACATAGCTCGAGCAATCGACCCAACCGGTGTGGCTGAGATCCTGAGGGTCCCGGGACGTGTAGGATTTCGCGTTTTGCCTTCCGCGTTTTACATGCTCGGGGAAATGTGGGAGCGGCGGTTTTGCTTTTGTTTTCCCGGACACCAGTTGCAAGCCACTGTAGGTAACCCTTCGCCAGTTTCCAATTGATTTTCAAAGGGTTTTTCCTTGGTTGCCAATACAGGGAAATGTGGACTCACATGGATTACCATACTCTCCAATGGTTCACACGTCATGTTCTTTGGGGCTGCGAGTTTCGCTCCTGTGCCATGTTCAAGCACAAGTTGGATCAGGAGGCCTGAATACAAAGCTTCCATTGGATGTCTGGACTGAGAGCTTGGAATCAGTTCCAATCACTTTGCTTCCCTTAAATATCCTTCATGTCTCACAGCTCCGCGCTGTTTTTTGTGGAAAACCTGTTTCCTTCAACATACCTTTCAAGCACACTGGGCCTGAACTTAGGGTGTATACCAGCTAGTGTATACCAGGGGTTTCATGCCAGAGATTCATGGCATGACTATTCTTGACTCCTATGTTGTGAGCCCTTAAAATTCCCGGACCCTTCATCTATTTGAGCCTTCAACGGTGGAGTGGCCAGTTGTGCTTTGTTTGTGCTGGCTCTCCAGGACGTCCCTGGAGGGTTTTGGAATGTTTGTGGGGGTCATGCCACCGTTTTTCTGCAATTTTGTGGAATCTTTTTTGGACTTGTGGGGGTGTGGTTTTGTGGTGTGTGTGTGTGTGTTACGTTTTGTTTTTGGTTTTTGCTTTTGCGTGGTTTTGCGGTTGAGTTTCTTGTTTGTTTTTTGTCGGGGTCATGCCATACCCATCCCTCCCTCGCTCCCGATCCAATCCATTCGACTCCAAGGACAGCGACCTGCTGGCGGTGCGCTTTGCGCACCTCGCGGAGGTGAAGACGCTGCGCAGGGTGGCGCCTGGCGCGAGAAACGGGCGGCTCATGCGCTGTCGTCGTCGTTTCCCTGAAGGAAAAGCCAACATGTCTTGGTGTTGGGCAATTTGTTTGATTTGTCCAGCGCTCAAAGTTGGCTTAGCTTGCTTGTTTTGGCTTGTCGTGGTCGTTTCCCTGAAAGCCAACATGTGGGCAGTGGCTCAAAACCGATTCGGGTAGATGGTTAGGTTAGTAAGGGACAATCCCCTTGCAGTAATAGGTTAGTAACATGGCAACTTGTGGTGTCGTTTGATTGAGAGCAGCAGGGCAGCAAGGATATGATGCTCCCATTTGGTCATAGAGCTGGCAGTTTGGGGAAGGCTTCCAGGCTCTCAAACAAACCCAAATCCCCCAAGGAAAAGCCAACATGTCTTGGTGTTGGGCAATTTCTTTGATCCTTTCCAGTGCTCAAACTTGGCCTTTTGTTGGTTCTAGCTTTGCCGCCAGTTTGCTTGAGTGGCTTTTCGGAAGGTGTCTCTCGTCTTGATGTGGCCGTTTTTCTTCAGCGCGCCCGGCCGCCGCCTGAACCCGGGACCCCGGAACCGCCGGCCGTCCGATGAGCTCAGGTGGTGTTCGTTGGTCCCATCCGCATCTCGGGGAGCTTCGAGCTGGGGGAGCAGGTCTACTGGTGCGGCGGCTCGCCGGCTGAGCGAAGAGCGAAAATCCCCAACCGACTCTGCAAATATGGGCGCGCGCGCGAGCGTCGTGCCCCCGTTGCTTTTTTGGTGGTTTCGAAGAGAAACCAACCGGCCAACAGGAACACCACAAGTTTTTTTTTTTGGGGGGGTGTCCCGGTGTCCCACAAAAAAAGAAGAACACCCGAATAGTGTCGTTCTTCTTGTATTCTTTTTCTCTTGGGGGGGCGTCCATGTGAACCTATCCATTTGTCAAGGGCAACCCCGGATTTTGCAAAAACAACCCTTTATTAATATGGGGGGATCCCTGGTTTAGTGCAATCGGATTCCCTGTTGAGAACGCTCCTCTAGGTTTATTCGTCCGGGGTCAACAAAAATTACTCCCGGATCGTTACTGGACCCTGGAGCACCCTTCGTTGCCTAAATTTCTGCCCTTAGCCCAAACGTATTGCAAAACCCGGGGTCGTCACCAAAAGATGGTAAACGTACACTTTTTCCTACTTCGAGCGTTTTTCCCAAAATCGGGCTGGTCGGTCCTCCTAATCGGTCGCTGATTTTTTTTGCGAAAGGAGCGAGCAGAGATCGAAGTGCAAACGAGCGCAAATAGCCGCAAAACGAGCGCAAATATCCGCAAAACGAGCGCACATATCCGCAAACAAGTGCATTTTTTTTTTTTAAAAAAAAAATATAATTTTGTTTAAACGTAACAATGCCCGCCTTCCTCTGGATGGAAGCAGGGGATTTGGTCGAGCGTTTTTCACGGGGCGAGCGTTTTTTTGGGGGTCGAGCACAAATCGGTAATTCGAGCGTTGTTTTCTCGTACCTAAAAAAAAGGGCACATTGGGTGCTTCAGGACTGAATAAACTTGGGGCTACTATGTTTTTACCGAGGCGCTTTTGAGCTTAGGGGGAACGCCAGCCCCCTATTACACAGTCTCAGTTGTCCCAATCGAACCAATCTTTCGACCGTTTGCTTTTTCCATGTTTGGCCTATTTTAGACAAGCTGGTAAAAGATTTACCTTTTATGTTCAGGCCCTATTCCGTCCGCTTGCTTTGCTGAAATCGCTGGTTTCAACCATGGTTTCAACCATGCCCCCCCCCGGGCGCCGTTCAGCTGAGCTGAGCCGAAGTTTGATCAGGGTGCGCAGCCAAAGGAAACGATGGCTGGACTCCTCGACATGTGGAGCCCCTCCTTTTCCTCCGGCCGCAGATTCGCCGGCGGGTTCCCATGTTTCCCCTCCTGCAGGCTTTCCACCTTTCTGGCGTTGGAGTCAAGGGAGGTATGAACACCTTCCGGCACGCCACGCCACGCTGGTGTCACACGCCCTTTGCTTATCCAGAAGTTTGGGTGGACCCTTTCTTGCGGGGGCCTGTTTGTGGCTTTGAGAGTTTGAAGGGAAACAACTTGGGCATACATCGTAGGGCACAGGGCGATGCCAGAAGTGGCTCCTTTTCATTTCCCCAAAACGAGCCCCAGAAAAAAAAAAAAAAAAAAAAAAAAACATCAGGGGGAAATGCCACGAGCCACACGCAAATCCGGATGGAGCCAAAAGGAGGTAAGGCCCGGCCCTGGTCAACTCGCAACATGGGCCATGTTCGACGCTAGGAACCTCAGCCTTTGCTTAGCCCGGGTGGCTATCACCATGAGCAACGCAAGGAACCCACCGGAGCGCTTCCAAACCTCCAATCCAAAGCACGGGAAGCTGAATGTGTGTTGCCTTTCATAAAGGTTATATCAACTTGGCGGCTGCCAGCCATACCCCCTAAGCTTTTCAGCTTCTTAACCATTTAGTGGTTGGATTTCCATTCAACCCACAAAAAGTTTGACTTTTAGCGCGGGATCTGAGGACAACCCAGTCAAGTCGTGTATACACCTTTATAAGAAGCTTTGTAAACGCCATTAAGCCGCTGAGGTAACCTCAATCGGTGGCTTGGATTGGTCGGCTTTGAACCCCCGGTGCTTGTGGGTAAAAGGGCACATCACCCAAGCTCCACACCTCCAAGCCGATTCGGCTCCAGGCTTGGCTGACCTCTTTAACCTTTTGCCTTTTTGGGTCTCCTTCATTCTTCCTTACCAGCAAACAGCTTGACTGTTTGCAGGGGTTCCAGGATAAAGCCAAGGATACGCCCTTAAGGCCTTAAGGGGTTAACAAGGGATAGACTCTCCCCACCTCCCCCGTTTGGAGTGTCCCCACTTTTATTTTGAGCCGACTGGCGATCTTTATGAAGATGAAGGATTCAGAGATATCCCAGCTTGGCTTCCCGTCTTTTGGCCGCTCTTTTCGGCTTCAGCAGCCCGTCTTTTGGCTTTGGCACCTTCCATTTGCTGAAATGAATATGTGTTATTTTCCCCTGTTGGTTTTGAAGGGAATCTATCACTACGTATTGGACATATTTATATATTTTTTCCAGGGGTGAAACAAAAGAAAAGCAAATGGCTTAGGCACCGACTTCACCTTCGCCGACGGCGAGCAGCTGAGCTTTGGTGCCGTCGGGGAGATCGCTGGGTGCACCAGCGTCTGCGACGGCTATGCGGCGCGGCATTCGGATTTCGGGGCCCAGCCGAACCGAAAGCAACCCTACTATGTCAGCAACCCCGTTCTCACCGTTGCTTTTTTGGTTGGGAGGGTTCAAACCTACTAAAACAGACAACAAAGAAAGTTGGTACCCTTATTCTAACCTCTCTGCTGGAGGACCTAGTCTATATAATTAACGAATTCATGCGTTCCAGCGCACATCTATACGGCAAAGAAGAGACACATTAAGAAGACATTAAGAAGACATTTTTTTTGTGCTCACGATCTTGTTTGTTCCTTCGGCTCATTTGTGTGGTTCCAGTTGCAATCCCTGGCTCCATTTCCCCTTCGCTCCACAGAGTTTAAGGGGACGTCGCAGACTTCCAGAGCTTCAGGGAGCCGAAGGCCTGAGTTTGAAGAACGTTCTTCATGGCCGCCTTTGAAGGGAAGCAATTGGAGGATGGATAAAACAATGTGGACGGGCAGAATCCTGGAGCTGGATGGACAACACCCCGTGACTACAACGGGATAAGGCACGTACCAAGAAGCTGCCTGGTGTCAAACGGGGCCCCGGTATCACCCAGGCCCCCGAATTCGTCGGTCCGGGAGATCGCTCTGGGGATTCGAAATACATCCAGCAGCTGCGGATGGACGAGCTCCAGTTTCAAACCATGGTTGAGACCCGAACGTTTCTCGGTATTTACATTAGCAACTCGAACCAAATTCCGCAGGGTTGTGGGATCAAGGGGTTTTACCCCACTTCTGTGATACAAGAGAATCTCCCCCGTTATGTGGGGGGTTAGTGTTAGGGAAGCCCTTATTGTTGTATCACAGAAGTGGTCATTTTCCACAGCCCCCCTGAAATTCCGGGTTTCTGACCACTGCTGCCAAAAAGAATCAACTATCTGGATTTCCTGAACCACCCACCAGCGGCTCATTTTCGCAAACACCACCCAGTGGCTTTTGGGGCTTCAAAAACCCCGCAGCCCTCACGCGCCCGAGGACCACGAGCGCGTGGCGGTGCTCTTCGCCCATCGCGCGGCGCCCGTGGCAGTGCGCTGGGCGGAGCTGTGCCGCGCGAAGCCCCGCTTGCCCAACGGCCTGCAGGCAGCTTCGGCGTCCGCGGCTTCGGTTCGGGTCTGCGCCAGGGGGTTCTTGGGAGGGGTGGATGGGGAAAAACCCGAAAAGGGGGGGAATGGGGGAGGGGGGGGAAGGGGGGGGAAGGAATAGCAAGCCTCCGAAGACTCCCAAAGGGTTCCGAAGATTTTTCGATTATTTTTCGAAGATGTTGCTTCCGTCTCCAGTCTTTCCAATCCTTCTTCCTAGCAAACTTCCAGAAACCCGTGGAAAACGGACCAAAGGATGTTTGACAAGAAGGATGGTCGAGAAAAACGGTTGGACTCAACCCCTAGAAGGTTGGATTTACTCCACTCCCAAAGGGGTCCTGGGCTTTGAATCAGCGCTTTGGGCTTCAAACTCTGGTAAACAAAAAGGTTTGAAGGTTCTTGTTTGGACGGTCCACTCAGGAAGTGAGTATACATATGGCTGCGGCTCAAAAACCCGGTACTAAAATGGAACCCTGGTGAGTGGAAATATGGACCAAAACTTGCGCAACCCCTCCTGGTTAATTTTGAGCCACACCCATATGTAACTTTAAGCTTTGCAGTCTATGTTTCTTATCTCCGGGTTCCTTGGGAGAGCAAAGGCTGCCAGTATGGAATCCGAGCACAACCCTTGGAGGGGTCGCGTCCATTCCGGACACTTGCTGGCTTCTCTCGAATCTTCCGCCGGGTGTGGGCTTAATCATTACGCAGTTACCGGCAGGGAGTGATCATGTGAGCGGCTTCAGCGGTTTTGAGCAGTCTGTCGAGGATTGCAAGTCTTTGAGGTGTTTGGAATTTGAAGATGTGAAACCCCGAAAGTGCTTGGACAAATTCCCCCCGAATTATGATGTTTGCCACAGGGTTCAGAACCCAGTAACATTCACACCCACTTCTTTCTTCATGTTTTTTTTCTTTCTTTCTTTCTTTCTTTCTTTCTTTCCTTCTTTCTTTCTTTCTTTCCTTACTACTTTGCTTCCCTCCTTCCATCTCCTTCCTTCCTCCCTCCCGCCCGCCCTTTTCATAAGATACGCTGCGCGTTGCGCACCTCGCCAGGTGGGGGACAAGGTCTACTACGCCTGCCCCACCTGGACCGCCCCGGACGGCTCGGAGCTGACCTTCGGAGCCGAGGGGAAGGCCGGGACTCGCCCGGGACTCGCTGGTGCCTCGCGCGTGCCTCGTTTAGGCTCGATGTTCAGTTGAGCCGAGCAATCAAAACCTGGGTAGATGGAGGTTAGATGGTTAGATGGTTCTGGGATTGCGACCATTTGAATGCCAGGTTTTGATTATGACTCAGTTTCCAGTTTTCCCACCAGTTTCCAGTTTCCAGTTTCCCACCAGTTTTTACAACCAACATGTTCCCACCTAATTTTGGACAGAAATCCCCACCTTTCTTGGTGTACAGGTTCCCTGATTAAAATTCACAGCCATATCTTGCTATCTTCTCCCAACCGCTCAGAGAGTTAATCGGGCGTGGCTCAAAATTAACCAGGAGGGGCAAAACGCAGGTTTTGGTCCATGTTTCCAATTACCAGGGCAACCCAATTTGGTACTGGCTTTTTGAGCCACAGCCACCAAAACTCATTCGTTTCCCTCCAATGCAGATTTGTCTCGGCAAAAAGTCCTTTGGGGTTGCTTACGGCTGGACCTGTGATCAACTTTTGACCAGTTTCCCCCAGTTCCCCTTGTTTTGGCGGGAACAGTGGTAATTCGTTTGGACAACTGGTATCACCACTCCAATTTTCTTGGTACCACCAATCATCACCACCCCCGACAACCAGTGCCCCTGTTCACGCTCAATTTAGGGGAACTGGAGTGGGAGCAGCTCATTTTCCTACCAACATGAGGAGTCACAGATGCAGCATATTTTTGGCCCCGGGCTTGGCTATGAGCACCGGCCAACTGCACCATCAGTTGTAAAGTGGCAAAGCCTCCCCGAAATGGAAACAACCACCACCATGGCAAGATCTGGTTGTTTGAGCCAGGGAACAACTGGGCAGATGGCAAGATTACTGGTAGACCTCCCAACCAGAGCTGTTTCCGATGTCCAAAATTCCCTTGGTACTGTCCAAAAAGCGGCAGTTGGGTGGTCGTATATTTTTAATTGGTCTATTACTAGTTGGCTTGGTGCAACAACTGTTCAAAGAACCGCTCGGCTGCTGAAAAAACCCGGGTGGTTTTGACCAACACGGGGGTTGCCGAATGTGGGGGTTGCAAAATGCGGACGCCTTTTGGTAGAAACGACTTGGAGGGAAAGCAAGGGTTGTTGCAAGTGGTTTACGCAATCAGATCCTGGCCTACTTGTTGGAAAGGAAACCCAAAAAGGCTGCAGTTTGAAAGTTTGAGACGTCATTTTCCCGATTTGTCCGAGGCACTCCAATTCAGAGGGTCATGACAGGCAAAGCAGACCGGTTCAATGTTCACCAAAAGTATGGCCAGAGCTAACCCTGCCAATTTCTAGTAGTCAGGGGTAGGGGTAGGGGAGACCTCGCTGAGGTGTCGGGCTGTTCGCTCTTGGGCGACGGCAGGGACGACGAGAGGCGGATGTCGAACGTCGGGGTGACTTGAGGGTTTGGTGCTTTGGGGTTGGTTTTGGCTTGGTTTTTTGTTGAGGGTTGGTGCTTTGGGTTGGATTTTACGGCAAGGAGACCCCGGAATTTGTTTGTGCCGACTATTTTGGTCATGGGGCACTTTGTGTGGAAGGGGGCCGTAATGGTGTGGTTCCCTCCACCCCGCGGGAAAAAGCTGGTTCCTTTGATGATTAAAATCACTGGGAGCAAGCTTTTCTTGATATGTGTCTTAAATTTATTTTAAGCAGAGTGATGCATGCGAAATAGCAAATCCTCCCCCCCTCCCCCTCCCAGAAAGGACTATTCCCCACACATTTTTTGATTCCTGAGAAATCAATGGACAAAGGCCGCGTCGCTTGAAGTGACGATCGTGTGGGGGAGGTAAGGGATAGCATGCAAGTGGTTGTAAGTCCCCCTTCAGTACGTTGAAACCAGGGTTGCTGAGCACTTGCCCCATGCCCTGCATCACCATCAGCATCATCAGCATCATCAGCACCACCAGCACCACCAGCATCATCATCATCAGCATCATCAGCATCATCATCGTCAGCATCATCAGCATCATCAGCATCATCAGCATCATCATCATCAGCATCATCAGCATCATCAGCACCACAGCATCATCAGCATCATCAGCATCATCATCATCAGCATCATCATCATCAGCATCATCATCATCATCAGCATCATCATCATCAGCATCATCAGTATCATTATCATCATCAGCATCATCACAATCATCAGCAGCACCAGCATCATCAGCATCATCAGCATCAGCATTATCAGCATCATCATCATCAGCATCATCATCATCAGCATCATCAGTATCATCATCATCATCAGCATCATCACAATCATCAGCAGCACCAGCATCATCAGCATCATCATCATCATCAGCATCATCATCAGCATCATCAGCATCATCATCAGCATCATCCGCATCATCAGCATCATCAGTATCATCATCATCGTCATCATCATCATCATTTGAGCCACAATCAAACAGACGAGCGTTGTGCGGATATCCGCCGAGTCTGTAGTCTTGTCAGCGGTGGCGGTGGGCCCAGTTTGGTTTCAAACAGTGAAAAGGACATCCTTGCCATTTTAGGAAGGGGAGTCTTAGTTTGAGAGCCCCGATATGCAGTACCCTCTACTCCAAGAACCTTTAAAAATAAAGGATGCGAACGAAAAACCTGGTTTTGAGCCTGTGGCTTACCGAAAACAGGGTTTTCCAACCGAAAACCCGGTTTTACTTTTAAAAACCCATACAACCATACAAAACCCGTACAAAACCCATACAAAACCCGTACGTTTGTATGCTTTTCATAAAACCGGGTTTTCCCGCGAAGAACCCGGTTATTTTCGAGAACCTTTAAAATAAAAGGTTCTTGGAGTAGAGGGTATGAACGTTTAGTCGCTTCTTGGCCATGCGTCACATAGACTCCATTAGCACCATGATAAAACTCCCACATGGATATGTGTCAAATTCGCATTTGGACCCCGAGGGATTTCGGTGGTCCTTTCGATATTTTCCTTCAATTCTCCATAGAAACCAGCCACAGGGAATTGTACGGGAAATTGGATTTTCAACCACCCACCAAAAGTTCAGGTTGGTTTTCTGCAGCTTTGCCTTCTGGTTTCTTGGAACGCCCCAAAGGCTTCGGTGCCCATCTCCCCCGGCAACCAACCACCCCCACGAGCCATGCCGAGAGGCTCTGGGTGAACTTCGAGAACGTCCACGGCTGCATCAGCCTCGGCCAGCTGAGTTTGGACCGGCCGTTCATCCCCGGAGGTTTCCGGTGCGAGGACGGAGCCCTCGAAGCTCGACGCGAGGGATGGGGAGGTGGTGTTGGGCTATGGCTAGAGTCGATTTGGGAGTTAGGCGTTTTGAAAAAACACAATACCCTAGTACGTACCCTAGAAGAAGCCGAGGCGGGTCAAAATCAAACCAGAAAACCCGCAGATTTTAGTTGGGGTTGAATTTTGGGGGTTGAATTTTGACCCGGGGTCCATTTGCCGGGGTCCATTTACCGGGGTTGACTTTTGGGCACCCATTTTTGACCCGCAGCCACTTGGGGGCCAAAGGGAGCATTGATCAACCCCCACATGATCTCGGGAAGAGGAGCAGGCGGTTCTCCAAGCTCGTACCGCTCAGTAGGCTCAGGATGTACCAAAGTCACGGGTCCAGGCACGTTCATCGAAATCCGGTCCATCATGGGGCGAACAAGAGAGTTCTCCAATTTGGTGGGAGAAATCTCATGCCATGGCAAAACCAACCATGATTCTGCACCATGGTTTGCAATCAGGTCATCCACAATCATCCAATCAGGTCTACAATCATGGTGCCAACCTCTGGTTTCCTCGGCTTGGGAAGCCCGGGCACGAAGTGGCCAATTCGAAACCAGTCGACGAGAGGTCCTACATGGGTGGCGCGTCTCCGTTTTTGAGGCTGCACCACCCATGTTGCCCAAAAACGACCTTCCCAAATCAGCCTTTGGAGAACTCCAACTTGATTTTGCATCCCAGAACTAAGATGCCGAATTGGGCCGTCCATGTTTTTGAAGACGCTTGCAGCAACAAACCAGGAGCAACTCTTCTACTGCGGCCCCACCAGGAGTGGGGGGTGGGGGCCTTGACACTTTGCCACCCAATCGATTTCGATTTTCACTTTTGCTTGCCTACTGGCTTGTTTGCTCGATCGTAGTCATGCTGTGGTTTTGTGTGTTTAGTTGCGTTTGATTGTTTGGCTGCCTGCGTTTGAAATACCACCAAGGTGTCGGTCTTGGCTGGTCCCTTGTCTGCGTTGTGCCGATGTGGGGTCCATTATCGGTTTCTCATGGCTAAACTCTCAGTTTCCTATCTCTGAATCACCTTCACCAACGGTTTGGGAGGATTCCCTTGTACTGGGGGTCATGATGTTGACTGTTTCTAAGGGTTCTCAAAGTCAGAAACTGGCGCGTTTTCCTTGAAGCTGCCACTTAGGGTGGGTGCCTTTGCTGTATCTCAGCGGGTTTTTGGGTTTGCCTGGCCACTCAGGGGACCCGTTTCAGCATCTCCAAAAAGGGGGAAACATATGGCAAATGGGGCTAAACAAGAGGATGCCTTACTGAGAAAGAAGGGGGAGGGATGGCTCGTTTCACCCTTACCAAATGCAGACGTCTCCAAAAGGAATGACAAGAGCTACCAAAAGACAAATCGTCCCAGCACCCGGGTCACCTCAGAATGGCGTTTTCCCCAGCCCAGAATTCCCTGTCCTTTTGTGGCAGTTGGGGGATGCTGGTCATGATCGGAGCTAGTGAAGCGTCTCCTGCCGCGTCGGTTTGAGGGCCATGGAATCGAAAAGGAGAAGGTAGGAAGCCCAGAGGAAGCCTGAGGAAGTATGGGTCCGTTGTTTGAGGCTATTGTTGGGGACTCCCCAAAAAAGACACACCCACATAGCAACAACCGGAAAGCAACAACACCAATTCGTGTTTTTTTGAAGGGTACCCCTTGTTGGGATGATGAACAACCAGGAAAAACCCTGGCGCATGGTTCGAGTCGAGACCGAAAAAAATCGCGGCCAGGACCTCGCCGGAAGGCGAGACGCAGCGCTTCGGGAGCCGCGTGGCGGTGGCGGGCGGCCGCAACGGCCACGTGGCGGTGGTCTTCCCCGGGCACGAGGTCGGCATGGGAGTTGGATGGGTCCAGTGGGCATCCAGGTTGAGAAGGACACCAAAAACACATTTGTGGGTCCTCTTGTTTTGGCATTCGTATTATGTTTCGTGTTGCGGGTCTGGAGTGGTTTTGATGAAAATGGGGGGGGGGTGCAAAATCGCGAAATCGGAATCGGAAGCAAATGGAGCAAATGGAGCAAATCCCCAGCAGGGCACTCATCACGATTTCCCGGTGCCCTGCAGGAAAGGAATCCAACCGCTAAAAAATGAACGCGATCCTGTCACCCTTGTTGATCTCAAAGTCAGAGTTGGAGTGGTTGTGAAGAATGACCTTGATTTCTCCGGTATAGTCAGGGTCGAAGACTCACGTTAATCCAACCCGTTTTTTGTTTAAACCTGGAAGGGTTTAATCACCTTGATAGGGATTAATCTTGACCTTGACCCTTGGTGAATAACCGCCCCAGTTCTTCATCAGGGATCCCCGTGCCATGGAAACCACTAGAAAATGGGGGAGATGTCCCTGAGGAGTAACTGGGGTCCAGAGTTCAACTGCAGGGGTCCACGTTTTCCGGGTGTCCGTTTGGTTTCCCTTTGAGAACCCGTCCAAAAGCTGGCGAGGACTGTTCAGAGGTACCGCTCCACGAGCTCTCCCGCGACAAGCCGGTGATACCAGGAGGGAACGGGATCGAGTCTGGGGCCTAGGGAATGGGTATGGGGTACCTTCCACGGGTCATTGAAATAGGTATCCAAAATGGACTGGTCAATGGAACCAACCGACTTTTTGAGCCGGTCTTTTGGTGAAGGATCCTTCGAGCACGGGGAGAGGATCTTCTACGTGGGGCCCAGCTGTCGCTATGAGCCGGGCGGCTGCCGCCCGGTTGCGCCATTGCTGGGTCCAGGGGTCCTTCGGAAGCTCCTGGTGCTTAAAAGATTTGGCCAACACGCTGTGGTGAAGGCCTTTTAAAGCCGACCAGCTCATTAGTCCCAAGCTCTCTAGCCTTCCCATTCTCTTCAGGGATGCTCTTCAGGAATTCCATGTCAACGTGGACAGGGCAACGCCAAGCAACACGGGAGACCTGGGGTGCATTTGACCAAGTCGTTTTAATCAAAGAGTCAACCATCTTTGTTCAATGCGCCCCAGAGACCTGCCCCTCGTGGCAACAGGCGCTGGGGCCCCGAGGCTTGATCTACGGCGCTGTGGGCCAAGTGGTGGGGCGGTCCTGCCTGGGCCGGGAGCCCCGGCTCGGGAGGCGGGTGTGGGGGATTTTGTTGGGAGAGCGTCCCCACCCATGAGGGCTCTTGAAATTCTTCTCACATGCGCCAATTTCAAGCCCACAGGTGAGAATTTCATAAACGCTCTCTTTGTTTGAGGCTTCCCCTTTCATCTACAAGGAAAGCCCCTCTCTTCTTAGACGTAGCTGGGATGGTTGATGTCCATCAATTGGGGGAATCTGCTAAGTTTAATCCCAGAGGCAATCAAAAACGGAACCTCGGTGGTGCCGAACTGGACAGCAAGCAATCCCCGGTGGTGCGATTGCACCTATTGACAGGGTTTTCGTATAATGGGTGGGTGGTTTTCATTCGCGGACGAACAAACCCTAAGCCCGCCCTCAATTCACGCCCCGAGAGCCAACCGTGAGCCAAAACTACTGAGCACACCTCAACCAGCCCTAAACCAAACCATTCTTAAATTAACCATAAATCAACAAGGGAAACTCTTTTCTTTAAGGGATCCTGGCAAGACCGGTCGTGCCAAGAGGACAAATCCGCACTTGGGCTGCCGCGCACCCATCTCTTTTGACTTCGGCATACTTCGAGGAACCAACAGGCGCGTGTAACCTCCACGTAAGAGGAATCCGCCAAAGGGTCGTAAGAGGAAAATGGTCCAGGAACCTCCAAGCAACTTGTGCTAATGGAAGTCTCCAAAAAAATTGTGGAAGGACCTTGTCGCGTGGAGCGCCTTTGTTGGCACCGAGTGGGATGAGTACATAGCCACGGTCAATATTCAGAAAACGTGAACGAAACACCCAAACAGCGGCCCTTTCATGGATTTGCGTTTTCCTGTCGTTTCCCTTATCGGAGCCCGCTGGGCTGCTTCTTCCCATGTCAGAAATCCCCTTACTGTCCAAACAGCAGTGGTTGCTATGGGCCCAAGTGCTGGTACAGTCATCGGTTTTCTTCTTCTTTCTACGTTTGGGGAGTGCGAACTGGATGGGGACTGCACTGGTGTTTGGTGTGCCAAGCCCATCGCGATTTGTCCAAAACTCAGCCAGGACTCCATGACCAACAAAAACTTCTTGCTAAGCTCATTGTTCAGGTCCTGTGTCAGGGCCTGACCCAGTTGAGAGAGGCTGGGTTGTTCGAGCCCTACGGGTTCCTCAGCGAACCCCCCCCTCCCCTCCCCCTTCCCTCACCCCGCCTCACGAATTCCATATAAACGGGGGAGCTGCTGTGGATGGCCGAAATCCATTTTGCACCACCTGCGAATCCCTGGAATGACGGTTGCCCTGCAAACACCAACAAACCATGGTTTCAACCATTTCAAAGTGGTGCGAAGGGATTTTGTCCATCCACTGAGCCAGGCGACGGCAAAGACGAGCAGCGGCTCAGCGCCTTCTTTCAGAGCGGCGGCTCGGCGGCGGCGGTACCTCTTTCGGAGGTGGCCCGACAGGCGCGGGAAGCGGAGCGCTTTCAGCGGGTGAGCGGGGTGAGCGGTTTTCTTGGGCTGGAAGGGGTGGGGGGGGATGGGGCGGGGAGGAAGGGGGGCAGTGTCGTTTTTTTTTTTGTTAAATTAACTTAAGGATTCGCAAAAATGGCTTCAGTGTTCGTCTTGGATTTGCCCTTTAAGGCCAAAAAAAGGTTTCCCTCCCGGCGACCCAACTGCGGTGTTTACCAGGCTGACTCTTTCCGTTGCACGATTTGTGTGTCCCTGCATGTCCCTGGGGACCGGGGCGGTCTTGCGCGAGCTTCTCGCACCCCACTGCACACAGACGGTAAGGGCCAACGGGGTCGCCAAATTGAGTCATGATCATACGAGCAGAAGCTTAGTGCCTGGAACCTGAGAACCACCATTTACAAATCGTTGGTTTCCAAACTGCCACGTTGCATCGAGGTCGGTTCATAACGAATTTGTTGGGGTTTGAACCCCAATTTCTAGATGTGAAAACAACATATGTCCGTAAAACAAAAGAAACAACACATGTGTGTCAGGTTCCAAGTGATTGTTTGAGGCCAATCTATTACAGCTTCCTTCTAGAGGCGAAAGCACACCGCCTATTGATGGCCTTTGGAGTATTGTTTTCTTGGTGACTCCCAGCCATCCCCTTAGCTTTTTAGCCTTTTAGTGTTTAGTGGTAGTTTCCATTTAACCCAGCTAAGGTGAGTCACTTTTAGCGGGGGATCTGAGGGCAGCCCAGATTTAGAGGCCGTGACGGACGCAAGGAGCAACACAGAGGATGGGGCCTGATCAAGAATCCCCCCCATGAAAGAACGCGCACGGCGTGCGTGGAAAAGGCGTTGCGAGGGTTTCCTGCATAGATGATGGTTAAAACCACCCAACAAAAGAACCAGATCTAATGATTGAATGCTACCCTGCTCCTGTCTGAGTCCCTTCAAGACGATTTTCTATAGACCAGGTGGTGACATGGGGAGCAGATTTGTTGGCAAGGGATGGATAGGAACTTTGCCCTTCAAATGAAAGGGTCCTGAATTTGGGCCTCCAAGAAGGGGGACGCCCCAACGAAGTCATTCCCCACCCATCAGGCGTATTTTTGTTTGTTCTTTCATGAGAGCACCCCCAAAATGTTTGCTTGGTGGCTCCCAGCCATCCCCTTCGCCTTTTAGCTTTTTAGTGGCAGCCCAGTTTGGACAATCCCAATCTATTTCTGGTTTCTCCGCGGAACGGTCTGAGAGTTGCCAGAGTTTCCCTTGGGTTCTTGTTTTGTTATCTACCAGTCTCGTCCCAGGGATGAGAAGCTAACCTGGGGCAAATTGCAACGAAGTGTCTTTCATCCGGTGGATGGACCCCCCCAAAAAAAACAAAAAAACACAAGAAACAAAACACCATTTCGCACCACTTTGAAGCTATGGTTGCAACCATAACATTTCTTGGTATTTACGTTGGGGACTCATCAGACACCGAACGGGTTTCTCAGGTGGTGCCTAGCAGGATTTCGCAACCATCCACAGGGATTCAATTCTTTCCAATTCTGTATTCTCCTTGCTGGTGCGATAGGCAGGGAATGAGAAATGGCATCAATTTGAGGATTCCCGAATCAAGGGTTTCCCGCCAGTTGCATGGGTTTTCTCGGTTTCCATAACACTCCTTCCCTGCATCTCTCGCACCAAGTGTCGGCTTGTTTTTGTAAATTTCCTTCTGCCGGGTCTTCAGGTTTCCGGACTCCGAAGCGGTCCAGCAAAAAAGAGGTCAGGTCCAAAAACCCGCAGGAGCATCTCCTTTCTGTTTCTGGCTTCAGGGACTTTTCCGTGTCTTTGGATGGTTTGGAGCCTTCACTCTCGAGGTCTCTGTTTAGATCAGATGTCCACGTTTAAAACATCCGATGTGCACCCCCCCCCCAAGGTTTGTCCCACGTTTAAATCCCAGCGTACTGTGCAAACAGCGGTGGTTGGGGCGTGCTGGCAGGTTGCTTCTTCCAAGGAGCCTTCACTCATCACTTGGAACCTGTTTTGGATGACTCCCTTCTCCGAACCAGGTGAGTTGGTTGGAACTGGGGAACAACAAATGGGATTGACAACCATCTTCACTGCGTTCTTGGCATGCTCTCTAGTTGTTGTTGAGTGTTTTCGTTGGCGGTGTTTGTTTCTTCTTTTTTGTGTGGTTTTTTGAGTGGTTGTTTGGTGTTTGTTTGAATGATTATTTGATTTGTTTTAAGTTTTTTTTTGTGTGTGTTTTTGTTGGTCAACCCTTTGAGTTGGTCAAGCCCATCATTTCCCAACGTCCATCCCTTGAGGTGCCAGAGGACTTGACCCGTCGCCTCCTGGCGCAACTCGCGAAATCCGCGGAGGATATGCCGACGTCGCCGGCCTC